GTTTTTTTATTACTGGGAATTGCCAATTATAGTTGGCTTTTGGTTTTACACAATACTATATCATTGTTGTTAGTATTTAAACGAAACAATCGATAATATTCCTAAAAAGGACTTTCTTCTAACTTCCACATGAGTAACAAGTGTTCTTCTTCTCTTCATGAACTTACACGAAACGGATATAAAATGTTTATCGTGGTTACGTTTTGGCTCGTTCGGCTTCCTCAGACCCGCAATGATTTGATTCCAGTACCTACCTACCTATTATCAGGTTTTTGAAACAGTTCTCATTCCCTTACTGGGTTTTTCGTTTTCCATCGTAGTCTTCCGGTCCAATGATTGAAGTTTCTAGAGTTGAGAGTCGCCTTCAATCGGGTAGCATTCCAAAATCGTTAAGAAGAACGTAGATACAGAGAACAGTGTCACGTGTTGCTATTAAGAGAAGCGGTATTTAAATCATCCGTTTAAATAGTTCTTGCGAATCTTTGTTTCTCATTGTTTAGGCATATAACTCCTATTCACCTAATGTTTTCTAGGTGAAAGGAGATGTATTGGAAGTACCTGCACCCCATCTCGGTCCACGCCTTCGATGACACAAGTATGACGAAGTTATTGTTGTTTTCCGACTGTTCATTGTCCATTGTTGCTTGTATATGAGAAGCGATTATGTGTTTATATTGTGCTTTACGAAATAAGTGTTCCTATACCCCTCTCTTTGTACTGGCCTTCCACATACTATTCTCTCGTGTTGCACTGAATAAGATAACGCATATGGTGACTACTGCTTTAAATCACTCCAGTGACTTTCCGAAGACAAATCGATTCAAATGAGTCGGCTAGTATCCGCGATGACCATCTGGAAACTCTGTAGTAGCGCTATCTCGTGATTCGATGGAAAATTACGATCGATAAAGAATTTTAACCGTTTTATTTACTGCCTATTCTTGTTAATTGCAGGGTATACTGCGAAATATTACTTCAATGATGCTGAGATATTTGCAAAACTCTGGACCGCAGGTGTCTGCGGTGGGGAACGAACGCGCTATTACCCTCTCCAGGGCTAACGCGTTCACCACCACACCATGCGAGTTCCTCGTCTTGCCTATCAGCTAGTTCTCCTTTTTATAGCAAATCAAAGACTTTTGTGGTTGCGAGATAATGAAACAGATAAAGAAAGCTCCTCAAATCCTTTCAGGATGAGTAACTATAGCGAATCAGTGAGTACTTCAATATTACCTGAAAATTTCACATGTCAAGTCGATCACTGAACCACGTGGTGGTCACTTTAGCACAAGAAACTCCCGATTTTAATCGAAAAATAGGCTTATCGTCCCATGCCGATAACATGCTGCTTAATTGGATCTCGCTCAGCCAAACCAAAGCCCTCGATCCATGTCAAAGAGCAGCTTGATAAATTATGAAAGTTTTAGATGATCATATAAGTGGTTTTCAGTACTATTTTCAAAAACATCAGTAAAGAATTGTGGGAGTAGGAAATGGCAACTGCTCCCAAACACGCATTGCATCAAATCACATTGGCGATCAACCACTTTGTCAGTGCCTTGCGTTTGCTTGAGACTATTTGTACTCACAAAGTTAAGTTTTTATTTGCTACCTATTATAATTTTTCAGGCGAAACGAAGCACCCGTATGGTGTGATGGTGAACGCGTTAGCCCCTGTAAAGGGTAATAACGCGTTCGTTCCCCACCGCAGACATCTCCGGTCCAGAGTTTTGCACATATCTCAGCATCACTGTGGTTGTTCCACACTGTTTGTAATATTTACTTTCTATTTTCTGCCTACTACAATTTTTACAGCAGGGTATTATGCGACGTACAACCATAACGGTGCTGAGATATTTGCAAAATTCCGTACTACAGGTGTCCGCGGTGGGGAACGAACACGCAATTACCCTTTCCGGGAACTAACGCCATCACTATCACACCATGCGGGTCCTTCGTTTCGCCTGTCTCAGCTAGTTCTATTGATCTACTACTTGCAATTTTATTGGCGCGAGTTATATATTTGTTACTAAATAGCACGTATTGAAACAGGGAGCAGACTGAGTAGACCATATATCAACTTGACCTTTGCAGGCTCTGAGGAAGGCGTAACCGCCGAAACGTCAGTTTTTGTCAATGAATGGATGCTGTAACACCACCCTGGTGTTTACTCGTCAAAAAATTGAATTACTGATGAAAGCTGACGTTAAACGAAATCCGGTCTTGGGATTTACTGTTGTACTTTTCGTTCATTTGCGATCTGCTCTTATTATCTCACCGGCCTACCTGTGTTCCGCTATTCATGTATATTCTCCTGGATCCTAGAGGTGACACAGAGGTTTCGAATATCTAAGTTGCGCATTCCGGCAAGACGCCGGTCAAATTCCAGAAGAGATCATTCAAATGCTGTGGGTGATACACGAATGTTTTAACGTCACTGAGCTATCAACCTACGTCTTCTGCTGCGTAAGATGTAGCTGGGAGAGCTGTTAGGTCGGAAAGATAAGTGCGGAGTTCTGCGTCCTTTAGATGGTCGGTGGCTTCTTTAAGTAGCAAGAATGCTCTCCATGGTGCTCTCCTGCTTCTCTCTAATTCGTCCTTTATGTTGTTGTCCAAATTCATTGAAAATCTTCCTACTTAGAACGAAGGATGTGGCGTAATATGCCACCGAGAAACAGACAGTTGTGAGCAATGCACTTCATCCACTTTACCCTACCCAACATAATTTTCTTCGTATTTTTGTTGAGCAAACGCGAGGTGTTACTATTCTTTGTTCACGATTAAGCTGACGTTTCGGCGGATTTCGCCTTCCTCAGAGCCAGGAAAGGACAAGTTGATAGAACCACCCGGCCAGACGCCTCCATAACCAAACAAAGAAACTCCAAACCAAGATTTCAATCACTTTGAACACAGCTTTGCACATCGGCCAGACGACTCCATAACCAAACAAAGAAACTCCAAACCAAGATTTCAATCACTTTGAACACAGCTTTGCACACTCACCGCTTTCTATGAGGTTTCCACTAAGTATATCACGTAGAGACCAACCGCATAGAAATCACATGGAAGCATAATGTGCCCCTCCCATCAGAATAGCAGTCTTATATACTGCTCTATATCACGCGTGATAATGAGGCATTCTTCCCTGCGGTTCATTTTCGGATTTCTGGAGTTAATCCAGAATGCCTTGAGAGTTTTTCGCGCCTGTGTTTTTGATTGGCGTGCGAGGATCGTGACACATACTTCAAAGTCGTCCCCGTTATGTCTCTGGGTCCTATGCGTGCCTAGCGTAGTATTTGGTCTATGTTTGCCGGCTAGATGTTCTTTTATGCGGACACAGAGAGGTCTGCCCGTTTCTCCAATATATTCGTCACCGCACGTCTTACAGGAGATCACATAAACTATACCCGAGCTCATGCAATCACCGTCTCTACCACGGGCAAATTATGCAATTTTGAGTTGCACGTAGACGGTCATATAGGCGGTTACGAACTAGCTGGCGCTTAAGATTACTCGGTGGTATTTCAACTACGCTCACCGAATTCTCTAAGCCCGCCCTTCTTAAGCAGCGTTTTATAGCTGTACTTATACCATTTGAGATGAAGGGTAGGATAAAATGCTTGATCAATGCCGAGGTTGCCCAACATATTTTGACCAATGTTTAAACTCAATTTTCAAAAGATACGGAATCCAACTTTTGGATTAATGGTTGCACAGAGAAACATCAACGATGTACCGTCTACACTATCCTCTCTACTACAGTGAAATCTCCATTGTTCAATTCTTTTTCGTTCGAGATAGGAGCTTCAAAGAAAAACCGAAGAAAATTGTTTTATGGGTTAAAGAGAGTGGGGATTGCATCGCCGTAGAACAGGAACGCAGTACCCCAAAGGTCCCACGATCCTCATAGTTCCTACTTCGAATACTAGAGTTCTCTTTGCAATGACATATGTTTAAAATTGAAACGTGTAATTATTTTCCACTACTCACATTCAGGTATAAACCACAAAGTGCATCAATTGTAACCCCCCCTATTTTTCGTCACAAGCTACTCTGAAATCAGATGCAGAAACACTACTTCCTCCACCAGACAATAGCGAAACCCGTCAATCTGAAGTTCTCTTCGAGCATCTCTACATCCATAGAGGTTAACTAGGTGTACTTCAAGAAGAAACACGTATGTCCCGGTGCTACCTGTGCTTGCTTGATTAATCCCTCCTACTTTTACCACTTTGGCTTTTTCATACACATTACAACTATGGAGCATGACCAATATTGTATCCAAGTCATGATTGTTAGCAACACCCCTACATTTGGCTGCGGTAGGTCTTTCGATATTAACACTGTCTGCAGGAACCTAATATGGTACCAGTGTAGTACTTGTCCATCAAAACAGTAACTCAGAGATCGTCTGATCAAGCACTTTTGTTAAACTCCTTTAAAATGTTAACTTCCCAACGGTTTACCGTCTCATGGAGGCATTCCTGGGCGTCGGGCTATGACGTACAGTGGGAGAATTCATCCCTCGGCAGAGTCTTTCAAGCTGAGAAAGAGTTTGGCGTTTCCATCAGGAAACCCAGCTAAAAGGAAACCAATACCATGACCCACCACCAACGTGGTATCAAACTAGTCGCATGGTGGCAAACCCCCCTCTGATCCACAAGGGCGGTCACTGCCTAGGCTGGTGACGACCTGGGTAGACTTCGGGTAACCTGACCTCGGGGTATCAGAGAACGTCAGTGAGTAAACCAGCAAAACTAGAAAAAAAAATGGAAATTTTGCTGGGGCGCGCATTAGTGAGGACAAGCCATCCAAGTATCCAAGTGAACTGTTAACACCTCCATTCTCATCCTATACAACAAGCATACGATTCTAAGATCAACACTGTCGTGTCATTTCAAAACACTCTTTCTGCCTCTGACCTTACATAACACATCATTTTCCGGAAGTGATTCGTGTTCCATGCACAAAAGCAACAATTTATTATATAAAAACAACATTTAATCATTATCACTACCTTCGTCCTCGTCCTGGTTAATGTGAAAGTACCTCAACTCGTACGTATTTTTATTAATAGCGACGATGCGAAGCCAGTCTCGGAGAGAATGCTTCTTGAGGTACTTCTTGGTAAGGTATTTTAGGTAACTAAATAAAATCGATATGCAAAAAGGTAAAAGGAGAACGAAGATTAATAGTTGAGAACGAAAGCAAATCTCACCGTTTAGAGAAGGGAATATCGGCAATGACGGAGACTTTAGTCTTATTAAGTTCAACTTTAACTCCGGACGTGGCAAGCTGTCCACATTTTCCGTTGATCTTTATTTTCTCATTGAGGAAAGTCTCCTGAAAAAATTTATTGGGGCTTACTAGGGACCGTGGACACCCTAGGCCCAATAAAGCGATAAGGAAAGAAACCCTATCGAGCAGACGAAATCACATACAAAGTCTTCAGTCTTGAAAATCCCGTCTTCTGCAGGATTCTTGCACTCAATGTTAAACTTTAGGTGAACCTTCTTCTTACGGGCGGTCTTCTTCGAACCCTTAGCGGATTTTGGGCTTTTGGTAGACGGTTTCACCACAACCATACTGTTCCCTGTAAAAGTTAACACCTAGAATCAACTGAAAACAACAGATATAACAAAATGTACGACATTGCCTTCCTGATGAACATGATACACAGCAATTATGTGGCACATCGCCATGAAACAAGTGCTTCTAAGACGTGTCAACCAATAGAAAAAAAAGGAAAGAAAGAAGAAAAGAAGTTGTTCCAGAAGGAAAGAGGAAACCAATCCAGTCTAAGGCAATTTGGAGATGTAGGCCACACTGATACAAATTTTGGGACAAACTGAAAGGTGAGTACACATTGTACGCCACCTGAAGCCTTCGTGACTCATCCCATCTAGCTCCGATAGATGTGCAAGATTCCAAATCCGGACTTAAGCCTAGGTAAAAGGAATCCTAAAGCCAACAAGGGACAAGCATACAGAACCCGGAAATCCCTGTGTCCCCTACGCGAAGGGAATAGGTAGGACTAAAATTTCTGGCTGAAGAGCCTGCGAATCTAACTACTGTAGCTCCTGGAACGTTGCCAAGAGATCTTCTACCCCATTTCGTTTTTATTTTGTAGAATTTGGCTCTGTTATTCAACTTGGGGTGTTTCCGTTTTCTGAAAACCACTGTTGATTTGGAAGCTGTCGTCTTTTCCGAGAACATTTAGGGTGGATAATGGCCCTAGATCCTCCAAGTTCTGCCCACAGGTCGGTCGTTTCAGCAGTACTCACTTCAGCAGTACTTTTTCGTAGGGCTAGATGTGTTTGTGTTGGTAGTAAAGTGTTTCCTAATTCAACACACGGAACGTCATTAAGCTTCTATTTGCATGGTTTAAATGTACTACTTTGGTCAAGTAATTCTTCGTATTCTTGTTGAGCAACAAGAATACGAAGAATTACTTGATCAATGCCGAGGTTAATAGAAAGTCGGTCGTGGGAGTACTACTTTGGTTTTTACGTTTACTCCTATTTTTTCCTGGCAACTGGCCACCAGCTATGAAGAAGCTCCATATAAGTTATGCTAAGATCACCAACATCTTCGTTTCCCCCGTTTTAATACAGACAAGGTATTGTTAGTGTAGAAATTTTGTGCCGTTGGATTTACAAAGTGGTGGGTCTGACTCGTTGCCATCGTCTCTTCAAAGTTACGAAGAACCATGCTTTTCCATTCGTTTCAAAGTTTGCTATTTGGACAAGACGTTCTTTTGGTGGAGTCCCGAAGGCTGTACTATACCTCACCCAGGTCCCCACCTCTTGGCAGTTAGTAACTTCGTTGTTACTAAGTTGACGGTGATTCCTGATACTAATTTATTCCTAGCTGGGCTTCTGGATGGAAATGTCAAGCCTCTCGTCGCAGCCTGTGATGGGTGATTGAAGCCCTACTGCGTATTATATTTCGACAACCAAGAACGCTGCTATCGACTATGAGGTGGTCAACCCGTGTTTCTAGAACCCCAGAATTTGAGGTTTAAAAACCGATAATATTCATGTCTATTTGTCACTACTTAGAGGAATGGGGCGGTTGGCACAGTGGTAATGCTGTCAGTCATCACGAGCATGGTGCTAGTTCGATCCCCCTCCAGGTCGACCAAGCCTCTCATCTCTCCGGAGTCGGGAAATTGGTACCGGAATTGTCCCGGAAATGTTACCAATTAGATATGAGCGAGTGCGCGACTACGCGTTCGTTTCTTCCACACTCTCCTCTTTTTTCATCCCGAGTGCTTTGGTTGTTGCAGCACATCTGTTTGAAAGTGCCGGTTAATGTGTCCAATGTGGGTCTTACTATTTACCCTCAAAGGTCAAATGGCAAAAGTCTAGATGTTCTACTGCTGATTGTTAGGGCTACATCTTGTTTAAATACTTGTAATTTTAGAAACACAATGAATTTTAACGTTATTTCTTTCAGGAATGAGTTAACGGCATTGGGTCAGATGGTTCCGAACCTTGATGAAACAGTATGTACTATATTGTTCTTAACGGTTAATTTAACATTGTTGAAAACATATTGTTATAGATATGGTGTGCAAGTTCTTAACGAAAATAGAGCCTCTAGGAATGACCAATTAGCGAAAATTTGGATAGCCATATGTCTTTTCATCTCGGGCTGCATGTTAAATTGTAGTTCGATGCTGTTTAGAACTTCATTAAAAGGATAAAGCTCTTGGCGTTGATCAATCCCTGAGGGTACGACATGCATTCGACTTCATTAAGCATCGTTGGAGGTGACTGAATGCATATCTGGCCTTTACAATGACTCGCGGTGGCCTAACGATGTATCGAGCCAGTGCTGATATCCTCCCAGACAAGTCTGGTACCAATTTGCCAACCCCGGAGGGAGGGAGGGTGCATTTTGCAGCGTATAGCACGCGAAATTGTGGGAGGAATAATGTCGTAGTAAAATTTTTCCGTTATCCCTTTCAAAAGTTTTTCAACTGTGTGCTTGTAATACTCCATGTATTCCTCGATTATTCACTTGTTTGGGAAAAGTTCTTCATACAACCACAACCATGCTGAGATATTCACAAAACTTGGGTCCTGGACCAGATCGAAAGACGATTACCCTTTCCTAAAAGTTCTTAATGTTTCCCTAATTCACGTGTGGTTACGTTCTTAGATTACCGCATTTTTTCCAAAGCGTGGTTAAGTTTAAGCTTTACATCGTGGATAACATCGTGTCGGAAAGTTTTAACACATAGCCATGTTGTCAAGTACTGCGATTTTCTCGTTATTATGTCTGATCACTAATCCCGTCGGTTTTATCGTTAGGTGATTACCATATGCAGCGGTGTTTTCTTCTTATGGAATAGAAATTTTTGAAGAGAAGCGGGGTCTAGGTCTAGCAGATCGCCTTTGACCTTTCATTCCATCTTTCACCTCGAATTTCTTCTGTTTACGGCTTAATACCAGTTTTTTTTTAAAAAATATTCTTCTCATGCATTGATTGGAGACGAAGGATGTTTAGTCGAGGTGAAGAGGTTTCATTTAAATTAGCAATTAGTGTTTAATACACCACAATACTTATCGACGCCTTTTTCCAAAATTCGTGCAAATTCGCTAGGGGGTCAATCATTTGGCTCACGAGGGTGTTTTCTTGCTTTCAATTCCTTGCGAAGCGTTTGTGCGACATGTTAAATGCACCTTCATGAGCGTAAAAATCAGTGTTGGAAATGACTGTAAAGCAAGAAAGGAGTCGATTATGAGCTGTCGTACCCGTGTGATTCGGTCTGCTACGAGGGAAGTCCGTTCCAGTTCGGACTTTTTGTGCGAGTCACAGCTCGTGATGCGCAGGTTTTACCCGGAATGCATTTAGTGTGCTCTTGGCGTTTTGTGCAGTTAATTGAACCTAATAAATGGTTCCTTTGGCTTGAAAGAGCTTTATACCATCGTGCGTTGAGCATAATCTCTGTAAAGTGACGTGCTGCACAACCATATCTTTATATGGAAGCTTCTACTGAGCGAAAGCAGAATGTGCTGAGTTTCTGAGCAGTGTTTAGGAAGAAAATACTAATCAAGAAGATTTGGTTCTCAGCGAACTATACTGCACACTCCATTTTCTTCAGCTTAATGGATTTAGTTCTCGTTTAGGATATATGCTCCGAACACACGGTGCCTGAAGTTGCCGATTTTTCCCCCGACGGTGATGACAATGGTGAGCCGATGGTCAGAGGTCGAGCTATCCCTATGGTAAATCCCTTTTTAATACATTCTTATATTTCGCAAGCTATTTTATTTGTCCGTCCTATTCACTTATACTGCAAAGTTCGTGCTTGGCATGCTTGATTTAGTCGAATCCAAACTGTGATCATTGTCTAGTCCTGCGTGAGAACTGCGAGGCAGCGCTTGGGTCTTTGCTTGATGTCATTACTGAACTGACTGCGTTGGAGAAACTTAAACCGGTTGGTTTCCCAGTGTAACATATTTCAAAGTAGTTAAAGCAAGAATTTTCCGAACTCGTCTGTTATTATCAAAGGCAAGTATTTTCGTACTAATGCGTTGTCATATATTTTTTTTACATTGTTATAGTCATTTAGGAATGCGAACTTCTTAGACACCAGATTGCACAGTCACAAATTGATGTAGATGCGAGCTTGATAAGTGAACATAAAATGAAATCACGTGTTGACACTGCCGAACAGGAAGCAGCACAGGTTCTTAACATTCTACCTATTTATGAAAAATAACTTGTAGTTTTTTGGAGTGCGTTAAAAAACGTTTCAAGGCTAAGTCACGTTTCGAAACGTTGGAAAAGGAGTTTGATGCTATGGCTAAGGCGGCCGAGGAAGGAAAGGTATCTTGTTTTCTTTACAGGATTGTTTGCTTTGTTCCAACATATTGTATTGTAATTGAATCTCCTATTTTTGGTGGTCACCAGCGAGTGGTAAACATGAGAACTATCTTGAGCAGAGTCTTGCTTGCTTATTCTTAACCTTTTAAGAAGCACGCACAAGAAGCGAATAACTGGCGTGTGAAGTACGAAAGAACTGTGGAAATCTCGGAGAAAATTCAAGAGAAGCGACGACATGATAAGGAGAGATTCGATAAACTTCTTTCTTTAGCTTCTGGTTACCAAAAAGAGTGGGTTTTAAGTGAATTACTAAAGTATTGCATCGGATGTTTAACGCACTCTTAATAGTCCTTGTTTTTAAGAATACTTGAGAAGTTGGCAATTTGACGAACCTGAAGAAAATGTTTCGCTCTCTCCTTTCAAATGTATACGTAGTTCTTCCAGAACATGTTTATTTCCCAGTTTTTGAGGAACATTGCTGAAGCAAATTTAACTTTTTAACGTAGTCGTAGTAGTGCGTGATGTCGCCGATGCAATCAGGGAAATATTGGTGTCATTCAGAGCGAATCGCGCTTGTTCAGTGATGTCGCTATTTAAGGTAGCTTCAACTAGAAAACGTGGGACCAAGAATGCTAAATTACTTACTTGGATACTTGAATGGCCCGTGTTCACTGGTTATGCGAGCCCCGTCACAATCTCCTTTCTCCAGATATTTGCTGGTTTAGCCATCGTGGTTCCCAAGGGTCCCGAAGACAGGCTGGCCAAAGTTTGCCCCAGATCGTTACCTCCACAGGCAGTTGCGGCCTTTGTGGATCAGAGGGAGATTTGCGCCATGCGAATGGCTTGATACCAGGACCCAGTCCTGATATTGGTTTACTCTTAGTTAGGTTTCCTGATGGAAACGCCCGACTGCTTCTCAGCTTGGGAGACTTTGCCAGGTGATGAGTCCCCTAGCTGTACATCGCAGTCCGACACCCAGTAACATCTCCCAGCCATGTTGAGGCGGTAAACCGTTGGGAGAAAACGCTAAATTACGGTTAATTACTTCCGATCACGTATGATACATGCTCCATATCATCGCATTTGTGTCGAATTTGATCATTTGTGATTTAACCACAACGTTGCTGAGATATTTGCAAAACTCTGGACCGCAGGTGTCTATGGTGGGGAACGAACGCGCTATTATCCTTTCCGGGGAGTAACGCGTTCACCACCACACCATGCGGGTCCACAACCCCGCTGACGGGTGATTGCTGTGGCAAAAAGATCGATAGAAATAGCTGAGAGACGTGCGAAACAAAGGACCCGCATGGTGTGGTGGTGAACGCGTTACTCCCCGGAAAGGATAATAGCGCGTTCGTTCCCCACCATAGACACCTGCGGTCCAGAGTTTTGCAAATATCTCAGCAACGTTGTGGTTGTATTTCGCTTAGTAACCTGCCATGAAAATTATAGAAGGCAGAAAAACAAAACGTTAAACATTTGTGATTTAGTTTATGTACTGATTTAGGGTGGAGTATGTAAAAACGAAAAGCCAACATGACAGGGAAGTGTTGACCAAACTAAGGTTTAAGCTCAACACGTTGGCCAATGCAGTCCAGTCGTATGTTCCTTCGGTTGTCAGTTTGCTGAAAGAGATAAGTATGTTTATAAGTTTTCTTTTTTGTGCAGGGAAAATCAACATATGTGTGATTTTAACATGTTGCGGGCATTGCTTCATAGATTATTTCATGTATTCTGATTTAGTGTCTTCTCCTTTCTTCGAAGCCGAAATGCCCGAACGTGTACGAGCGGAGGCTGCGAGATTATGTTCAACTGATGTTCAGAGTGCTTTTGTGATTCACGATACAACATTTTCATCTATAGATGAAGACGAAGAGGGTAACTTAGCTTTTCTCCTCCTTGAAGGCTAGAGCTTCTCGGAGAACTACATTTCTTTGTTTTTATTGTTTGCGCCCCTGCATTTTCAGGTTTGACTGTTGAATTAGAAAGATTACTTGGTGGTGATTCTATGACTACATCATTGGGAACACCTAAACCGAAAAATCGCTGCTCTAAACTACAAAATCCAAGTGAGACCCGCGCATTTGAGTTTGTGGATGGAAATATATCAGGAGTAAGTGATGGAGAAGCTGACAAAATTCTCGGAATCGGAGCTGAAGCCGCAACTATGGTTGCATCGAACCAGGTATAAATTTATACATTTACTGCTCATTTTAAGCAGATGTATTTGTTTTAAAAGCAAGAAGCAGTGTAGAGTGCTGTTCGTTAGTCATAGGAAAAAGTCTTGCGTTCATGCAGTAGTAAAGTGTACGAATGTTTACTTACTTTTTTTTTCATAGAAAAAGAAAAGAGGTTCTGCGAAAAGAAGAGTAAATGTAAGAAAAGGACGAGTGACAATTCGAACTAAAACTCCAGCAGCGGCGGTAATCGATCATGATCCTGTTGAATTTCACAAAGTTTATGGTATGGTTTTACCAGCTTCTGATACTTCTCAGATTTGGCCATATGAATCTTGGATTTTTTAACTATTCCATCAAAATGCATATATCTGAACTGTACTAAGCATTGAAAAAAGTTACATTCTATCCATTCCAGCCGTGGAACGTGCTATAAACTTTTTAATTCACTAGTAACTACCGTGAGAAGGAGTCCGGCGTTTCCATCGGGAAGCCCAGCTAAGAGTGAACAATACCAGTATTCACCACCGTCCTGTTGTCAAAGTAGTCGCATGTTAGCAAATCTCCCTCTCTGATCTACAAAGGCCGACAACTGCCTGTGATGATGACGACCCGGGCAGTTTGGCTAGGCTGATCTCGGGTCTCTAAAGAACCAAAATGACTAACCTGCAAATCTCCGGAGAATGAAAATTATACTGGGGTCCGCACAACCAGTAATGACGGGCCATCCAAGTAATAACTACCCTCCCTTAAACAATATTATTAACCAGTAAGATGGAAACATAGGAGTTTGTAAAATTAAATAACCCATTCGAAGAAATTCTTTTCAATATTCACAACTCAAGCCAGAAGAAATATAAATAAGTACGAAAGGAAAAACCCTACCAATCTATTTATGAACACTGAAACAAACTCGTAGCTATAAGAAAAACTGAATCCACTTACCAAATCAAACGTGTAGTTAGGATCGTTATTAAAAACATAATAAAAAAGACAGAAAAGCGTTATAAAATGACGTTAGTAGGTCCACTGCAATTATTTTTGTTCCATAATTATTTTCTTAGCTTTTGATAGTGGCGTTTCCAATAATGGGTCGTGATTTACGAAGTGCTAATTGATGGTAGTAAATCAAGTCTCTTGGTTAACTTGACTTAACTAAACCGGCTTACTTGTGGTTAAATGTTTGGCCAGCTTCACTAGTGTTCCTACAGTAGTGCTCTCGTTAGGTGGTTTCACCTGTTTTCATCGGTGATGAATAGATTCCCGAAGATGGCGAATTTCTGAGCGGATCTTATTTTTCAGTTTTTTTTTGACATGGGAAATGGTGTCAGTGTGACGATCAATATCTGTGCACAAAATTAGTGGCTGTGTTTCAGAATGTGTTTTTGTCACAAAGAACTCTATTAAAAGCCCTCGAAAGGTTTTCCAGATTTTTTTGAGCTTCTGCTTAACCCGTTTTTCGAGCTTCTTTGATTTTTCATTTTGATACCAATAGTTACATAGTTGTTTCATTTGCGCCCACTTCTAGTGTAGCTTTTGTATTGTTACAAGAATCACCTTCAAGTAATGTTCTCGACCCGTTATTGTCAAACATGGAAGAACGGTTGCGACTTTCTTATTCGTAGAGATTGTAACGTATAGCGTTGTATTTGATACCACTTAATGGATCCATTGGCTTTATACTTAGTTTTTTTCAAAGGAGACTCTGATATTGTGGGTACGGAAAACCGTTAATGGTTTCAAAGTTATCTAACTGTGTCCGTTTTAATTCATGTTTAGATGGAATTCTTGCATCCAAACTTAAGCGAACGTCGCGCAACGAGGCCTCCGCTGGTACAAAACATTCCAGGCGAGTTCCCTTCCCATAGTTTTTGGAAGCTCTCTACCACACCAATTTTTTTAAGTATCCATGGGAAGAAGATGTTGACCGTGCGTGAGCAACAAAAAGCTCAAATGAACGTATCGGTTAAGGAAAAAGTGGCCCTGATGAAGAAAAAGGATGCAGAGGAGGTTCGCTCACCAAATGGTAGTGAAGGTTCCTTTTTATGCACTTCGATCTAAAACACAATCCACCTGAAAATATTTTTAAGGAGGATGTGTGGGTGATGCTGTAGAATATCAGCGAGCTGGTGTTCTTCCGTTTCAGGATAAGGTTTGTTGAAATTACAGTTTATCTAGACTCGGATGAGGCTGTTTGTTGTTTTAGACGGCTCCACTCGAGAAGCTAAGTGCGGTTGCGGAGAAGGTTGAATTCTCTTGGGTAAGAGATGATTTGCAGATGTCGGCTTCTCCTTCGCCTGAATCTAGTGATGTTGAAGGTATGTACGCATTTCTGTTTATTGTAACTAGTACACTTCTTGTAAACAAATACTGAGGTGCGCACAATAATTCATTTCAGGTTTTGTAGCATACTAGGCGTCATTTGTTAAGATTTCTGGAAATTTAGGTTTCTAACTTGTCTTAGTACTTTTTATTTTAAAGGAAATATTTCAGATAATAATGTGGTCGCCAACAACGATGGTATCGGAAAGGAATTGGTCACCGCTATACCAGCAACCTCAGTCGCTGAACAAAGCGAATCATCTACGATTCAGGTAGCAGCTTGGCTTTTTGAGGGATTTTATTCTGGATTCGTTCATTTGTCGTTGAACGTACATTTCAGGATGAGCATAGTGAGGCAATCAGTTGTCGTATAACACTTACCTCAAACCAAGTCACTACGTGTGGTGCAATTCATCAAGTGTTAGCTTTCGAAACAGTCAAAGAAACCCACTGTTTGCCAACTACCGGTGATGGACCTGTGGTATCACAAGGACGAAATTTCACGTCTAGAACTGAGGAATTCGATTCTGTGGAAATGCTCTTGACATCTAGTGATAGTGAAAGGAAAATGGAAGGCAGAGGTTATCGGCAAGACGATAGAAACAGCGGTAATTTGGCTAGTGAAAAAGGTGCACTTAATGATTTTATAGCGGTGTGCGAGGTCTCAGACGTATCACTTCAAAATGGTCCTATTGAAAGCGAGGAACCTGAGATGAGTATATGTGGAACTTCAGCTAAACAGCAGATGGTTAGGGAGTTATTGGATCCAACCAAGAGAACTTGCACGGAGCCGGAACATGTAAATACTACCTGTACTTTCGCAATAGCTTTTTTCTTAACCCGGATGTTATCGAGAAGTTTAGGTAAATAGTTCTACGTCACAGGCAGAAATGGCACCAGTGTATACTACAGATTCGCATAGTACGATGCAGGATTCTATACTGTAGGTTTTCGAAACATTACCTGAAAGTGAAGGTGGAAAATTCAAAAGTTTGGTTTTATTATCATGAAGTTTTGTTCACCTATTTCAACTGTTTCTCTTTGATGATCGACGCAAGTGCTTAAAACCAAAGTCTCCATCAGTCCATCTAGCGTGCAGGAGTAACAGTGGGTTCTGCTCGATCTACGGACTCTCTGCGCTTCGTATCTTTGCTTTAGCGCAGTGGCTAATTGCAAATAACTCCCAAATTTGGATCGGTGGACTTCTTGCTGTTCACCTGACATATCGAGCAGTCCAATAGCTAACGGGTCCAGTCCATCGGTTGTCTTTCAAACGCTTCACATGACCGACCCACCTGATTTTCGATATTTAACCTGCATAACAGCGTCTCTGGTTTTTGATCGTTGACGTAGGTCTGAATTTTATATTTTTTTCACTCGAGTGATACGAAATACTCCCGGGATCATCTTTGTCGACTGCGTAGTCGATAACATAATATGGTCCTTCATTCTGCTTATGTAGCAATCAGGCTTCGCTTCGCTACATCCTCGTTGCTCTTGCGAGCTACTCGTGCCATTGTCTTCTTGCTCAGTTGTGAAACCAAGTTCTTCAGCGTATTCAATTTCCGACCGAGATAACTGGAGTCTTCATATATATTCATTCCATTGAGTGTGAATGTGACATCAAGAAGTGCGCTCCTCATAAACATCACTTTTGTGGAATTTGGTCCAAGACCATTCTTTCCGCAAGCTTTGTCGAACTCGCCCACCATAATTCATTCCACCTGGGTACTGTTCAGTGATATGAGAACGGTGTCATTTGCAAAACGAAGGTTGTGTAATTGTATAACATTGAATTTTACTCTGTTCTTGTTCCATCCTAATTTTCCCTTGACCATATCGAGTGTAGCCATAAATAATTCCTACGAGAACACGTCGCCTTCCCGAACCTCTCTTTTGACGTCGATGTTAATATCGTTGCAGTGGTGATATTTCGGTTGTGAAATCTTTCTATATTTTATGAAATGTCTTCGCTTACTTAGTGGCAACGCCTTGACTGTTGAGAGCTTCCATGATTGCTTCTGTCTGTCTCAGCTGAGTCGAAAGCTTCCTTTAAGTCGATGGAAGTGTGATAGAGCGGTCTCTGACCAAGTGTTGTGTGATTCTTCACCGACAAACTAGCGTGTCGGACTTGTGGAGTAAGTATCGGTGAAGCACGGTGAGCTATTCATTCTCCTTGATTTGTTATGAGGAGAAGGGGAAGTGGCTATTGAAGAGATCCAATCATGGTTCAGTCATGGTTGATTTCCTCCACTGCGTTTCTGAAATCGGTAACTGTTCCTTTTAGGTGTTGAAGTGCGGGCATTTTGGTTTCATAATTGACGAGGTTTCGGTGAGCATTGTGAATGCTCCTTTTGGCCTCTGCAGCTCCAACACTGCTGTTGTTCTTTTTTCCTAAAGGTCTTCTTTCGTTACCATTCTTGCGTTGCGTAAAAGTTCGGAAGTTGGCAGGCGATTGTCCACAACTCATGCGATTTCATGTTGGCGTATTACTTCCAATGATCGTGGAGACAAGCCGTTTGTTGGTAGCGTTTTAACTCTTGGTTTTCTTAGCGTTAACATGCAAATATTGAGTAAGACGTCATATTCTACATCGCTGTCGTTGATAACGGCATCTTCGCGAAAGCAGGCTAATGATCCGTGCGTTTTGCCCGTAGTTGGAAAACTGTGTAAGCAAAAAAGCCGTTGGAATCAATACCCATCATCTCGTATCTACTAAAAATTCTTCCACTTCTCCATTACTGTGTATCGGATGGGTAATGTAAGCGTTGTAAAAAAAGAGTACTTTAATCCTCATCTCCACTGACCGTTTGTGTTCATTTGTTTTAACACATAACGCCTGACGCTCTTATCAGCACTGTCGTCGCGTTGAGCGACACTTGGTTCCATGCAGACGATAAATTTTCAAAGGTGAAACTTTGGTTAATCGCTGTAGTGGTAGCATGATATGTACGTTTCTTTTTTCTGTATATTCCAGAGGTCCACTATGCAACAAAATTACAGAGGCGTTTGGGAGATATCTGGTATCTTCTGTTGTATCTAGTTCGGTTCTTTACTGAACACATTCGACAAAATGCTTTGGTAAACTGTGTGTAAAAGCGTGCCACATCTGACCCACAATATGTGTTTGCAAGCTAATGGTTAACTACAAAAAGTGCAGCAAAGAAGCTATAGAGCAGAATAAACTATTGGAAGGCGAAATGCGCTGCATGTAGGAGTTCGTCTGATTTCCCCACCAACGCATGCATGAAATGCATATCGGGCGTCGTGTTAGTTTAGGAAGAATTACAACAAGTAACAAAACATGGATGATCCATGTATGGGAATTTTTATTCATCAATGTTTGTGGCTTAATAAGCGGTTAAACCGATTTCGTCTAGGTACAATCCGTCGAGAGCGTTGCTGTCAGAGAATACTAAGATAGCACTTGATTTTGCTCGACGGTTGCTAGTAGATCTGCAGTCTAAAGTGACCCCTCCTAGGAATTACGGCCATACAGAAGAGGTGAGTGTTTCGCTCGATTCAATCAAATGAAGCAGTTCACCATTATAGACTAGTTAAGTGAAAAGAATATTGCTCTTTTCGTTTTTCTTTTTCCAATTTTAAACGCAGATCTTTCTAAGATGCTTTCTTTCCCAGGTGGAGGCGTGCGTTGAAGGTGGTTTACGTGAAGGTGCATCGTTGGAAGCTATCGTAGAACCGACTACTTCATTTGGTTTTCGTGAAGCTTCCAGAAAATATGAAAATAATGTTTCACCAGCGATTGGTGTGTCAGAGTCTACCGAAGAATCATCGTCTAAGTCTTTGTCTATTTCGGAGAACCAGTCATGTGCCAAAATGGATTCATTGCAAAGCGCTAAATGTGGTACCGACCCACATGTCCTGCCATCAGCGCCCAATAATTCATCTGATTTGGAAGCGGATCGAATTGGTGATTGTTTACATTACTCCTCAACGTTAGTTACGTTGTTTAGCATCTGTGTATCATAGTAAGAAGGGATGTAGCAGTTTTATTTGTACTCAGTATAGCTGTTGCAGCAAATGATCGTGATTTGGCTATCCAACTTCACGCTCAGCTTAACCTACTCGGCTTGCGGTCACGTAGCAGTGAAGATTCTACTTCTCAAGAGGCATGCCCTTTGTTGCTTTGTGAAAATACTAAACATTTATCTGTTGAATGTTCTTTTGATTGCTTCGTATTCTTGTTGAGCAAACGCGAGGTGTTACCTTTATTCTTTATTCCCGAATAAGCTGACGTTTCGGCGGATTTCGCCTTTCTCAGAGCCTGGAAAGGTCAAGTTGACAACGATCTATTCGGCCAAACACCTCCATAACCAAACAAAGAGAACGCTAAACCAAGATTTCAGTCACATTCAACACAGCTTTGCTTACTCACCGCTTTCTATGAGGCTTCCACTGAGTTGTTGCGTGAAGACCAACCGCACAGAATTCACATGGAAGCGTAATGTGCCCCACCCATCAGAATAACAGGCTTATATACTACCCAGTATCACGCATGATAATTAGGCATTCTTCCCTGCGATTCATTTTCGGATTTCTGGAACTAATCCAGAACGCCTCGAGAGTTTTGCCCGCTTGTGTTCTCGATTCCTGTGCGAGGATCGTGACACGTGCTTCAAAATCCTCCCTGTTATGTTTCTGGGTCCTGTGTGCCTAGTGGGGTACTTGGTTTACATTTGTCGGCTAGGTGTTCTTTTATGCGGACACAGAGAGGTCTGCTTTGATTGAATTACTTGATCAATGCCTAGGTTAATAGAGAGTCGGTCGTGGGAGTTACTTCTGATTACTGTTTCAAAACGTGTGGACTTTGTCTTAGTGTTCAGTTGTACTGTTTCTATTAGTTTTTTTCTTCTATTAGTTCTTAAATTTTTCATTATATATAGGATACTCGGGGCTCTGTTATTTCGGAGAAAAACAGCGTCACCAAGGATGATAGGAAGTATAATACTCGTGAGCAGTTTTTTTTTTTATCCGTTAACTATGCAATGGTTATACAATTGCTGTGTTACACTTCGATTTTCTCTCTTTTCTTGCAGGGTTGCGTGGGCGTCGTCATGACCTAAAGGAGGCGGAAATCACGCTGAAAACTATTCCCAGAGGGTGATTTTTTTTTCAACAAAGTACACAAATAAGTGAAAAATGGATTCGTTCTAAATGTTAATTTTTTTTTAAGGAAGAAACCAACAGCAGGAAGCGAACAAGTGTCTAAGACACCTGTGAGTTCTATATGGTTCAAAAGAGGTCTTCGAAAACTTTGCAAAATGCCTATACTATAATTCACCAAGGTTCTCGCAGGAATCCGGATACTTTATCGCGCTGTTATCGGTTAATTGGTGAACAAGAGAATAAGACTACCGGCTATTTCATTTCAAATGCTTAGGCTTACTAACCACTGGGCATTAGTGGAATCTTTCTCCGTCCACATTGCTGGCTAGACCTGCTCAATTGGCTGCACTGTAAAAGGACACGAAGAACAGCATAATACTTTTGGTACAGAACTCTTTGTCATAACTGTTTTTAGTAGGAAGGCACTCCCAATTCGTGCCATCAGTTTATTCTTAGCCGTCTTTGAAGTGGAAATATCGGATCCCTTTTCGGCTTATTTTAGTGACATTCCTGGGGACGGACCCCAATGTACATTGTACTTGGACGGCCAAAAATGTATTCTCCGGCCGCTATGATCCGGCAAACCTCTTCTAAATATTAAGAAAACATTTAATTTGGATGTTAGGTGGTCTCTTTGATGCGAATCACTTAGTGTCTTTTCTACATCCAGTTCCCTCACCAGTTTCTAGCTAGAACATGATCGTGATGAGGACGGTAATCCACACCGCTTGTTGTGTTCGACGCGTTTAATAATATCTTTGTCTTCCAAAGTTCACTTAAGTTACCAATATTTTTAGTGTTCTTTGTTTAGGAAGTTCCAACATTGGAGGCTCCAGCGACCATGTACACATCTAATAATCCGTTACTTTCGCAAAAGCATGCCTCAAAAAGTGAACTGGTCCAGAAGGACGCCTCAACTGAAGCGGTATCCCTGAAACCTTGTGGACTTCGCACGCATCTGGTGTGTTCTCCAACAATGAAAGCAACAACAATGGGCATGCAAACGCGACGAAGAACGCTGGCAGTTTCCAATTCCAAAGCTGCCGCTGAATCTAAACCGGGCTCCTCCACAAATCCCACGGTGACCGCCAATACCAGTTTTACTCTATCAACACATTGCAAATCTACTCGCTATATTTCCACTGCAGAGTCGTTAAAAGTGATTTCCGATGTCGAAATACCCAGAAGTCGTGAGAGTGAACCTTCGGAGTCCATTAGCCGCACAAATGCTAGGGGTGCATCACCGGATCAGAAGGGCAATGAAGACGAGGAGAGGAGGAAAAGTAGTCATGTGTCTAATAATGAGCGTACTAGTGAATTTGAAATTCTTCCACCGAAAAGGGTGAAAACCCTTAAATTTGGGTTGGACGCACGTCCGGGTTCTTCATTTCGGGCCCGTAATGAGGTTCAAATTACGGGGAAGAAAGGCGAATTGGATAATGGACCACATACTCGAAAAAGACCGATGACAGGACCTAGAGCACCGGTGCGGATTGAGTATTCTTTTTTTAAATTAGTGTAGCCTGTTTTACAGTGCTGTTTTTTTTTTAGAAAAGACGCAAAATAGATGGCGTTAGCTTCAAAGCAAAGCAGCCGGTATTGGTAGGTAAAAGTGCTCTTAAGTTCATTTTGATTAGAAATGTTTATTTTACTTTTTTCAGTTCTCTGGTCCTACAATGGGCGATAGTGATGACGACGATAGACTTTGTGTGGCAGATGACTGCGATATTGGCGAGGAAGAGCAGTCGCCTTTGCAAGTTTACCCTGTTGATGTTCATGGGTGCGATTCAGTGTTTAATGAGAAACAGGTGGATTTTCTACGTCACTTCTCACAGTTTTTCTTTATTAACTCGTTGTTGATTTTTCCAGTTTGGAGATGATCGTTTTTCTACGATGACGCCAAAAATTCCTGAGAGTAGAAGGCAAGACTCTTCAGATAGAGCTCCATTCTCGCCTGGGATAGTAGCAATGGAGAAAAGTGAACGAAAAACACTTGCGGCTTCTAAGAAAACCGTTGGGAAGAGTACATCGAATAAACGAGTTTCAGTAACACCTGATGTCGCACACGGCTTGAGAAAAGGTCACCAATTAATTCTAAACATTGAAATCTTCGTTGTAGTGGACTTCATCATTTTCAAAGTCATTTCAGATGATAACGAAGAAGGCGATGAGTTGCCTTCACGTGAAGTCGACCACGTACACGCTTCAACTGTGAGTGTTCCATGATATATTTCCTTATTCAAAAAATAGATCTATTTTACCTGTATGTTGAAAGAATTGCTTTTCCGTTGCATTTTCTTTATTGGCAAAATATTCTTGTCCTAGAAATGACTAGGCTTCCTACGAGGAATTTGATTGTGGGTTGAAACGCTTCCCAAAAATTTAGCGCTCCTACGAAGAAACAGCTTTTAAAGGGCAATGCTTCTATATATCAGTATGCAAACTTCTCCCTTTGGAAGTAAAATAGAAAAAACAACGAAACAACGTATTGGGAGGAATATAGTGGATTTTTCTACGTAAATAGTTTCTTGGATTCTGTCATATTCAGTAATTAGTGCGAAAGCAAAGCCGCGAAGCGAAAAAGTCAATAACATTTTCTGCCTTTTTAGTACAGGACTGAGTATTATGTGGTAGGTGCAGTATTCAGATTAACTTACACTTTCAGTGAGGTATCAACCAAAATTCACGTTGATTTCATCTTCCAAAAGCATGCAACTAAGTAACTGGGTAGTACCTGGGAGATAGGTCGAAATCATCTCCACCTAATGGCGTACCACCCGGTTACTAATAGATAGCCCTCACACCGTAAACGATATAAATGGCATTATTGGAGAAATGTGCCGTTCATATTACGTAAGCACGCTGCACTGAGATCACTGGAACACCTGAAGGAAAGTATACAGCTTGGTGCATCATTAATCACGATCTCCATTTATAGTACGTCATACGTCATAAGACGATCATGAATTTAGTAGTTCTTTTGGTGTAGAGATAGCGCAGCACTTCACACCATTTGTTCAGTTTATGGAACACCTGTTTATATAATATTTTGCATTTCCAGTGCTTTTGAAATGACCAGAAATTGTTTTATTGAAAATTTTGGGGTTTTTCTATAACACCTTAATTAGTTTCTTTTGTTGTGGTCGATACTGTAACTCCGAAGAGACTAATGAAAACTGTAAGGTTAAGCTGTCAATAGTTTTAGTTTTCTTTTTTTCTGCAAAACTTGTTGCTTTCTGTGTTTAGATGCTGCAGAAACAACTGTATGCAGCGCTCATGTCTGACCAGAAAATGGAAATGATTCGGAAAAATCTAGGTCACAATTTAGAAGAGATTTCCAGAATGCATCCCAAGGATTTTGCGAGTACAATGGTCGAGGTATACATTTTTTTAATCAATGTAATTCAAAAGACCGATTTTCTATAAACCTTAAGATAAATAGTTGATATATTTATTTATACGATCTTATAAACCTATTCTGTTGAGCCGACGCGAGGTTGATATGCGTCTTCGTTGTCATTGTTATTGTTGTTGTCTTTGCTGTTGGCGTTGTTTGTCGGTAGCTGACGTTTCGGCGATTTCGTCTTCCTCAGAGCATAGAAGTATTTTATGTAACAGTAATCTTATATTCGGTGGAATACTTAAAGTATTAAAGAAGATCAAACTTTTAAATAAACGCCATATTGGTCAGTGTAATTCAGTTTCGACTTCGTTTGTTCAGGTTGAATTTAGTCACAAGGATGCTGAAATATTCGCAAAACTTGGACTCCGAGCCGCATCGAACCACGATTACCCTTTCCGAGGGCTCGCGTATTGCATACTGCTCCACTGAGGATCTTGCTTTGCGTTTCTCTCAGCTAGTGATTGATAGGCGATAGCCGATGGCAGCGTTAGGTAGAAAAGTTTTGCGGATATCTCAGCATCATTGTAGTTGTATTTCACATCACACCCTGCCGTGAAGAATTGTAGTAGGCAGTAAATAAAGAGCTAATATTGAATTCAGTGTTCGATGGATTTGTTATCTGGCGACATGTGGACTATTGTGCAGAGGAATTTCCGCAGCTGTGATTCTTCGAATGTGCATAATACAAAGGTTAGTGTTCATTCTGTTATAACTTATGGTTGTTTACTTTTCATAGCATTTCCATAGTTCCTCACAGTCAGTTTGAATACGGTGCATATTTTTTGTCTAGGAAGATACATTCCTGCAAATTTCTTGCGAGCTTGCTGGAGAACAACAGATTTGGGTGGAATATGTAAAGTAAGTTTTATGAAGTCTTCATGAAATACGTAGTCAGATTGTCGCGTGTAATATGGACAATTACCGAATGATTTGAACAATTAGTTGTGAAGCCTCGATTTGTTCTTATTGTATGTCGGAGTTCCTTGGTAGACTGAGCATGCTCTATACAGAGAGTTGGTATTACATCAGGAGAGATGTGCACTAGTGCCTTTAAGCGAATTGCTTTTAGGAAAATGGTTGCAATGATATGCACGCAGGCTGCAAGTCGTGTCCATTCTCCACGGTGCATCCGTCTACTGATGCGCGCGCTCCGCGAAGTGGTTTGTGTTACTATTGGACCGTCATTCAATTGTTTCAAGGAAGTCAGTGTTTTGGTATTGCAGGGCAGTTTGCTTACGGTGGCTGAGAAAAAAGAATATCTTCGAATTGCCTTGACGAAGTTGTTTTTAGAAGACATGGTATGTGGTCTTACGATAAATATGGTTTCCAAGTTATTTTAATTATGTTGGGAGTTTGCTTCTTTAATAATACTTTCCACGTCAAGGTTTGTTTCCATTGCCATCATAAGCCAGTTCTCAGTTGCTTTTGAATGTTTGTACAGTCTACAAGTTTACTTACCTGGATACTTGGGTGGCCTGTCCTCACCGATTGTGCGGACGGGCGCCAGCATAACCTCCGTTTCGCCAAAGGCTGCCCTAGATCTTCACCACCACAGGTAATCGCCAGCCTTTGTGGATCAGAGGGAGATTTGCCACCATGCGACTATTTTGATACGAGGACGGTGGTTAGGTCCCAGTGTTGGTTTACTCTTAGCTAGGCTTCCTGATGGAAATGCCGGAGAAGTTGAAGAAGTTTACATCGTCATAACCCAAGGTAAAAAATAATAGCTGATACTAGAGCGTAATGGTGAGAAGAGAATCTAGTAGTAATGTGGATTATATAAGTCATCATTTGATTTTAAGTTAGCAGTTAAATTCTTCTTCATTTATATCAAACGTTTCAAAATGTTCAGCCATAAAAGCTTGTTTTATTTTAGGAAACATCTATAAAAGCAACAACCTTCGCACTACTTTCTCCAAACTACGAATTGTTGGATTGGATGAAAGACAAAAAACGTCCATTCTCTACACTTCTTTCACTTGCTGTTACAACAGTTCAGGTTAGTTCCTGAGGTTTTTCAAGCTTATTATTTCACCATTTGGTTTACTATCAGTTTTATCGGTTCATCTTGATACTATTTTTTGATTCTTCCATCCCATTCTGTGCTTTAGGCATTAGTTAAGTTTTCATTCGACACTCTCACTGTCTGTTGTATTATTTCCTGATCTCTTCGCACAAAGGAGTTGGCGTATGTGCTACTACTGACAGCGTTTTGAACAGTACTACCTTCATTTCACTACTTTTTTAGGTTTTTGAGATGCATTTCAAGGTTGAACAAACGTGACAAACTTTATTAACGAAACGTAGATGGTATAGCATCTAGTTATTAACGTTTGTTCTCATTTTATCCATTCCACTTTCCGCATGCCATGGTCTAAACTGGAACTGAAAAGTGATAAGAAGGATATTATAAAAACACGAAAACCATCCTGTTTTCCATCCCTAGTATTTTATCTTTACTGTTTCTCGCTTCGCTGCGGTTTTTCGCCGGTCCCAGCTGTGGCGGTGATAAACCTTCTGCCACTCAAACATCCACCCAGTAGAAATGTTGGAGAGATTAACTTGAATTTCTAAGTATTTTCGCACAGGAAGTTCTCAGCATCCTTAAAGAAGTGGTAATCAATAGGCGAGAGGGTTGGCCAGTATAGTAAACGAGGTGGATGTTCCTAGCCCAGCTCATTCAACTTTTGTAGTGTCGTTAGTGAGGAGTGAGACCGCATGTTATCGTGCAGAAGATTTGGTGTTTTTCAGTTGGACCACCACGTGGCCCAGCTCTTTACTTTTCTGGTGCATTTCGTAGATTTCGTGGGCGTAGTTCTCTGCCATAATCACCTTACACGGGTTTAGGAAGCTGTAATATTGGACTTCCAAACGGTTAGCGTGACATTCTTTTGGTACAATTTCGGCTTTGGGCACTGCTGTGGTGCTACATCGCAGTCCAACCAATGAGCGATACAAATTCCCGTGGCTCATCACTCTATGCTAAGAAAACGGGTCGTTTCGTTGAGCGTAGTAGCTCTCTTGTTGCGGCACTCATTTGCCGAGCTTCCTCTACCTTCAAATGTTCTATAGATGCTCCGAAACAATACAAGTTCTCGAACATTTGTGCTTGTATATGCTTCAACCAAAGCCTTCAAATAATCGATGTCAGTAGCAGAGGGAATTTCGCGATCTTGCTTCTCTTCAAAGTCGAATTCGCCACGATAAAATTTCGCAGCCCTGTGTTTCAATGTGTAACAACTCCTCCCTATTCCTTTAGTGTTTCGAATTGTTTTTGTGCACTACATCCGAGTTTAAATTTGTGAGACTTAGGTCGAATTTTCGACATCTGAAATTTTAGCCTTTAGAACTTTCCACGAATACAATTTATACAATAATTCAATTATGCGGAACGGAAGTTCATAAAATTAGCCCTGCAATGAAGCGTAACAATACAGCATTTAAAAACGGATAAAAGATAAATGAGATTGTAAATCGGGTATTATTTTCTGAATAAACTAATATGTATATGCATATGTATATGTACACATATATATGTCTACATACGTTTATATGCATGTATATACATGCGTATATATATATATATACATGTATATATACTGTATGAGTATTGTATATATATACTCCATCCAATTTGATTTTTCCAGTTTCCTCACTTTTACAGCGAGAGCATATTTTGTCGTTAATATTCTTAATTAAGACTTGGTTTTCATATTAGATAACACCTTAGACGTAATTTTGAAGAGCATTTTTACGTAGGTCTTGCACCCCTCAATGAAGCGATGGTGTTCGCTCAGGTGGTTCTCAGATGTACTGCTCCTTGAAGGCTTTTGCTCAGTTTTCTTGATACGATAACATCTCCATTTTTTTGGTTTTTCTGTGATACTTGCTATCTTTGAAATCCGCTTAGAAATTATATAACTATGGAGAAGGTTATACCTTTTTATTTTCTGCCTACTATAATTTCGCGGCAGGGTACTAAGCGAAATACAACCACAACGTTGCTGAGATATTTACAAAACTCTGGACCGCAGGTGTCTATGGTGGGGAACGAACGCGCTATTGTTCTTTCCGGGGAGTAACGCGTTCACCACCACACCATGCGGGTCCTTTGTTTCGCCTGTCTCTCAGCTAAATCGCGTTACTCCCCGGAAAGGACAATAGCGCGTTCGTTCCCCACCATAGACACCTGCGGTCCAGAGTTTTGCAAATATCTCAGCAACGTTGTGGTTGTATGGAGAAGGTTGTTTTTGTACACAGATACCACTTAAGCTTTTCATGAGAGGCTGACCTCTTTGCATCGTATCACTCGGTGGTTTATGGAGCTGAGGCGTCGTAGCGAACATCTGTTTGGCATGTTTCCCAGCAGATTTGGAGTCATATCATTAAAATATTTGTTTATGATAGCCTAGAAGATCTCCCTTTTTATTGTTGACCACCACCTTTTAGGATATGGCTACTTGAAAGGTGGACATTTGCAGTGTCCATTTAAGTCAAACTCAAAGTTCTCAGCGTTGAAACCTCATGTACTTGCGCTTTCTATACATTGTCGCAGTAGGCCCTGCAATGTCGCAGTAGTACGTCTTCGATACCATAATTCTGCCTCTTATGTGGGATGTATTAGCGAAATGCCACTCTCTCTCCAGAAGGAACGAGATCTTCGCCGGCACCGACGTTTTTGCCAGGGTGTGTAAATTTTGGTGCAATTTCTGTTGACAGATTCTATCAGCAAGTAGGTCTTATGTAACCTGCCTCTTTCATGCTTTCAAACATTCGCCAAATAGAGGTGAATTAACCGTCTTTTCAAACCTGTATGTGTGACATAACTAGGCAACCACGAATACTCATTTAGGTGCTATGTTTTTGATTCACTGGTTCTTCTTTTTACAGTCTCTGAGATAAATACATTTGAAGTATGAAATCTTTCTTTATCACTTCTTGATGAGTAGTATAGTTCCAGCGTACTTGAATCCTTGGATGACCCGTCTTCACGGGTTGTAAGGACACTAGCTTAATTTTCGTCCATTTCTTTCTCGTGCAGTCGTCGATGGTGGTGGTCTGCTTCGAACATGGTGACACCCGTGAGGCCCATTCTGTAATCTCGAAATCGTTGCCATCTGCGAGTGCTGATAGTTGATGTTAGCCACGAACATGTCCGCACATCATTTAGGTGGTCTTCGAAGAGGACGCTTGCATTCTGTTGCAGTCCACTCCACTGTTCTTTTCGTCCGTCTCTCATCTGTTCTTTTTATTATATTACTAGCTCATCTGTTTCGCTATTGATGTATATTCTCCTGGATTCCAAAGACGAGAAAGGTTTCGAATATCTGTGCTGCGTATTCTGGCTAGGTATTGTGACTGGGTAATACAGCACTGGGAAGACTACTGGATCGAAAAGGTGAACGCGGAGTTTTGGACCTGATAGTCGGTGACTTCTTTGAGTGACTCGAATGCGCCCTATACTGACCTCTTTCTTCTGTTTAATTCCTACTTCAAGTTGTTCTCCATGTTCATTGACCGCGTACGAGGTGGTTTCCATAATCAGGGAACTATCCAATTCGATTTATTCACTTTAATCTTTCAGGAAACTCCATAGTAGTAATGAAAATACCATCTGAACTTTTTGTTTGAGGAACTGTGGCGAGGTCGGCACAAGTTTTAAGCCTTTCGACAACAGCTTGTGATCCTCAGTCGGGTCTTCATTTATCTGCCCATCTTATTACGTGAGGATTTCAGTGAGAATATCCTCGTTAGAAGCGACTTGTTTCGTTTTTCTTGGTCGATTACTGTTCTTTTCCAGCTTACCTCTGAACGAAATCTTTACATGGAGAAGGCGGTGCTCAAAGCGAGTACACAATCCAAGTAGCACTGAGTGTTAGGGGCGCCATTTTCTGTTCCTCACAATATAATAGGTCTCCGGTAAGTCGTGCCGTTAGGAGACTTCAATGTCTCCCGGCAATTTTCTCGCTTGAAAAATGAGTTCGCGTGAAGACGTGCAGCGAACAAAAGTCCTGCAAGACAGTTTCTGTTTTCATCTCGTTCTACTCCTATCCCTATCTGGTGCTCATTTTCGTTGGCCGTTCCTAGTCTGGCATTGAAATCTCTAACAACGAGTTTACAGGACTTTTCGTTGTTGATTACTTTCTCTAAATAATTGCAGAACCCATTCAGTCCGCTCTTATCAAGCACTCTGCACAAATCGGTAAGTAACAGTTGATGTTAGTGACTCTCTTTTGGCGCGCAAGTTGAAGGCGGAGAATAGCTAAGCGCGGCGATAAGATTTCGTTCGAGTTGACTAGATGAAAATAGACAAGTGACGAGAAATCAGGCGCTTCCACCATTTCGTGATGGAACCGTTTGTCTGCGGTTGACGAAGCTTCCGACATTTACTTAGTGTATGTCAGTCTTACTACTTTTCGTTTCTTCCAATGCGACTACATGGAATTTGATGCGATAAGCAGCCTTAATAAATGTGTGAAGTTCGGCGTCTGAGGAGACTTTTCTAGTGTTGTAGGTAGGAAACAGGAAGCAGTCTCCATGCCGTTTTGAACCTGATCGTATTACCCGATTTCGGTGACGTCCTATGCAACCTGAGATTTGATTGCTTCTCATCGATTGTCTCACCGCTCGACATCCCAGAAAGGAGCGCCCGGTGTGCGGGCATTGAAGCCGGAGATTTGCTGGTTTATCCAATGTAGTTTTCTGGCATGCCGGGGTTAGCCACGCCAAAGTCTGCCCCAGGTCCTCATCATCACAGCCAGTCGCCGTCCTTGTGGATCAGACGGAAATTTGCCACCAACTGACTAGTTTGATACCTTGACAATGGTGATTTCAGATATTAGTTTACTCTTAGCAGGATGGAAACGTCGGAGTTCTTCTCAGATTGGAAGGCCCTGCTGGAGAGTGAACTCCCTCGCTCTACATCGCAGTTCGACATCCTGGATGACTTCCCAGCCATGATAAAGCGGTAAATCGTTGGGAGGAATTTTAGTATAAAATGGGTAGAAATGAATATGTTGTGCGATTGACGAACAAGGTTCACAACACCGTGTTTGGATGGTAGGTGAATTTCTTTTTATCAAATGGTTGAGTAAAAGTGGGAAAGATCTTTAGGGATATTTAAGAAACGAGGAATAGAATGTACCAATAATTCCAAATTATAGAGCAAAAGCGGAGGAAAAGATGCGTGTTGACTTGCATCGCAGCCCATTCATTGGTCGGTATGAGTTATGTACGCGTGACTTACCAAACAAGCGGTTGAAAATTAATCCTTAACCTATTCCTCCTCCACAAAAAAATTAAGCGGTGTTGCTTGTGCTTTTTCTCTGTAAAACTATCCATGCTACGTAATTTATCAACGAACTTGCATTTAAGAAACCGTCAAAGAATATTAGACCATGCTTTATTCAGGTTGACGGCAAAGTGATGTTGTGGGCATGGTTCCAGCAGTTTTCAGAGGAATTGCCACTGCAAGATGTTTCTCCTGAAAGTGTCCAGAGGGCTTTTGAAGAGTTAGTGGCACACCTAGACGATAAGGCGGTGGAACGTAGTCAAATAGAAGAAGTCGTTCCAGCTCCTGTTAGTTTAGTTTTCTATTTTTTTAAAGTCGTGATTTTCTTTTCGATTTTATCTATCACATCGAACAGCTACAAAAATAACATTCAGTAATTTTTATCGCATCGTATTATGGTGAATGCGTAATCACAGTATAGTTCAGTTAAGCTGAAATGAAGAAGTGATGTATCTATTCAAAAACAACTTTTCGACTAGGAAAGGCCGAGGCAGGATTGTCTTGAGTGTTCAGCAAAAACAGGAGTCGAAGCCTTGGTGTTATCGTACTGCGCACACAGTTTATGAGCAGTGGAAGCCCACATATATTTTCCATGTACTTTCAAATCAACTAGATCTCCGATCCGTTTCGATGACCTTTTACAAACAAAAAATTTTTTCAACAGAAACGGGATTTCTGCTCGCTCCCCTCTCCGTTTACGTCTTCGAACAATCGCTTGTGTCAACAAAACTAAATATTGTTGCACTCAGTGCTACTTGATAGTGGTACCGACTGCTGTAGGATGGATTATCCAACGAAAAACTCCATTATCAACTGAAAATATCAAAAAAAGTATCAACAACTGTTCTCTATGAAAGAGCACTCCCGAATGGGATAACTCCAATTAGTCGGTGCTCTACTGGGTTCGGTTTGATGCGATCACGATTACCGACATCGGAAGGAGAAACAATTGTGAGCCATCGCTTCGGATCAATTAGGTTCTCAGGTAGACGAGACTCAAAAAGTTAGCCGACTTAAGGTTTTTTTTACAACCTCGCTTTCGCTTGTCAGTGGAATAATGCATCTTATTTATGCCGGAGTTAAAGGAAAATGGGTTTTTCAAATATGGAAACTCAATGCCTTTCCCACTGTGCTAACGAACTATAGGTTATGGGAATATTTCAACATTACCGCAGCACATCTGCTAGATGAAACTCCGTTGTGCTCTACTGATGACCAGATTGTCGTCTGAGTTATGAATTAGAGTAAGTACCATTTGTTGTTAGGAAAAAACAGCATTAGTTAAATTAATTATTTTACTAATGTAGGTGACATCCTTTGTTCATGAAGGACAACTTGGTAAGAAGTGCAGTCGTCATTTTTCAAAGATGACTTCAATAGAGGTCCTAGAAGAAATTACCATGGGAATTCCGTGAATTGCACACTGAAACGGTTACGTAACGCATGATGGGAACGCTTATAAGGGCAGTATATGTATAATGTTACTTGCCATGTATGTGGAAAATTTTCGTCAATGAAACAAGGCGCTTTCAATTCGATTATAGTTAACATAGTATGACATGCACAAGTATATATCTGTTATGTAATCTGTTCTCTAAACGTCGTACTCGTATGCATAGTAGGAATGTTTATCGACAATTTAACAACTAAGGCAAATTAACGATTTTTTTGCTGTTGAATATTTCAAAAAGCTGGGAAGTTAATAATATTTGCAGACCACTGCTGAAGAGGACACGCTTACCAAAATGGCCATCGCATATGTTTCTCCGACAAACGAAATCCATGCGAACTTAATGCTTCTTATTGAGCGCATGATGAATGATGGCAGAAAACGCATTCAAGCTGCACTCAGTCCACATGCAGTTGAAGGTGACAATTACCACTGTATTTAGAGGAGTAGTGATTTTGTATCTTCACTAACTGATCGGCATCTTTACCATTTCAGGTGTGGCAGCGTACTATGAGGCTTACAAAGTTAGTAATCGTTTGCGTCTATGCGTTGGTGCCATTTTGTCTACTCTCGCAAGCAGCGATGATCCTTTCGTAGTACAAACACTAAGTGAGCTTCTGCAGCGCGAGATTCTGCTGGTAAGTACTAGACATTTATGAATCTAATTTAAATGAGGTCGTCATATAGCGTGTAGACAACCTACCGACCTACCTCCGCATCCACCAGTCTTTCCGTTGTTTGGACTAGGATTAAGCATTAGAATTAAGCAAATAATAAGATGTTGATTTGTTTATAACTTGAGCCTTTCTGGAGATTCCATAAAAGTTTTAACTGGGTTCATTGCCGATTTGGACTCAACAGATCAATACTGGAATTAATTTCATCCTTTGCAGTTTTGAAGGTTAATGTCACTTTTTCGCGTATTCTTGGCCTTGGGACCTTTAAGCAGCTACCTTAACAGGAACAAATTGAGCAAAGATTCAATAAATAATCATAAACAGTGTGGAAAATTCTAGTTTCAAATTACTGATAGGGAGCTGCACCTATTTCTGGAAAGACAGAAATCACAACTTGTAAAGTCGTGATTTCAACTACAAACTCAGCTTAACTGGGTTCAATGCTGAATTGTGCTCCCCAGATCAATTCCGCTGACGAGTGATACTGATTTCAAAAGATCGATAGAACTAGCTGAGAGCCAGGCGAAACGATGGATCGGTATGGTGTGATGGTGAGTGCGTTGGCTTCCTGAAAAGGAAAGGGCGCGTTTATTCCTCACAACAAGCACCTGCGGTCCGGAGTTTTGCAAATATCTCAGTACCATTGTGGTTGTATCACACATAATACCATTCCGTGAAAAATTGTAATAGGCAGTAAATGAAAGGTTAACATTGTGAGTCCCAATAATGTAATGCAGAGTTTCTTGGTGTCATTTTACCAATTCAGCGATTGGTTTTTTTCTCACAAATTTAGTTATGGTCAGCCGTAGTAAATACGTATACGAATTGCACTGGCATGCTTTGGTCGGAATGTTTAAAGGACCTTAATTTATTCATTATAACCTTGTTATTTGTAGATTCGTGAACTTCGAGCGGAAATATCATCGGCCGCAAGCAGACCGTGGATAGAAGTGTACCGTATAGTTATCGACAGTATTTTAAATCTTGTACAGGTTCTTTCTCACTATAAGATCTAGACTTTACTACTGTTTCTATCTAATGCATGGCCCCGTGACTAATAGAATTCGTTCTGATTCATGTTGTTTCTCATTCGATCGGATGAATTCGAGATGGTTTGTAATTAGCGTTTGATCTCAGTGTTTATCCAGGTACTTCTACATATTCTATACTTTGTTAATGTACTGTTGCACTTTATACCTTGTAAATTTGCCTTTTTTGTATATTTGAAGTGTCTCCAAATAAGATTATTCTGTCCTGGAAACCTCACGACGTTGCCACATTTCTTTTTCACTTAGAGCTTGTTAGTTGAGAAAATTCTGAAGATAACTGTTCTGAACGCCGAATTTTAATGAAGACTTATATCAGCTTCTTCATTTGTTTCCCTTAGCGCTGAATGCGTTTGGTGAGTATCGCTGAATAATACCATGGTGAGGGTTGGCGTTTGAACGTGATTTGTGTCGCTTGTGTATCAGTGCTTAAAGTAGTTGATGTATTGAGACTTTGATTTCAAGCGAGTTTACAGTGTTAAAGGATAAGTAAGCAATCGTAGAATTTAACTTATTTACTAAATTTTCGCAACTAGAAGTTATATTTCGCAATATATACCCTGCCATTAAAAAGGGTAGGCAGTAAATAGTAAGTTAAAATCTTAGAATTATTTACGCCACTCCCACTCAGGGAAGTCTGACGGAGTTTGCACCAAAATCGTTAAGCTAAGGGCAGTATTGGCAGTCCGTTCTACCAAAAAAAAAACAGTTTAGGAAGTTACATAGTAGCGGTTGTACGGAGAAAGTTCAGGAAGTAGCACTCATCTGTTTGTTTGTTTGTTTTCTTTACAGTACTAATTATTTAGTAAGTAATATCTTAACATCTAAGCATCTAACAAGACATCGTAGAAGTGCTGTTATGCTTGCAGACTTAGGCGTCGCTTTATCCGGAGTGGGCTTCTTGACGTCGACTATTCTGGGATGAATTGGAGAAGAACACATGTCTGTTTTGAGAGATGAATGATAGTTGATTGTTTTGGCGAACAGCTGAGCGACGTTATTGGTAAACTTGTTTTTGGAAAGGGTGCGCTTTGTTTTCAATACGTTCACTTTCTAGTGGTTGTACATTTCACCTTAACTCAGATTCTGGGACAGTCATGCTTCCACACAATGGCTCATCCATTTTCGTAAACTGACGTTAGCTCTGCACTTAAATCTTGATACCACAGTAGACGGGTGTACGAACACCTAACTCATCTATTTAGTAGATGAAGCGAACTTTCATTATAGATATCGCGAGAGAGCTTGTCCATTTGTGATTTTGAATAGTTATTCTCTTTGATTCAATTCGGTAATTTTAACGTTTAATGGTTTGGAGGCTGAAGCTCTTGATAGTTGTGTTGAGATCAGAACTTCTGGTTCGTCATCAGCCCTGTAGAATCAAAGATCGACTAATACCCTTATCTCTGTTTATGGAGAGTAGAAGAACGTAGCGATGACGTTAATAGAAGATAGGCCGTAGGAGAACAATGGCACTTCAGGTACCAACAGCCGGTCAGTTTCTACCTTCATTCAAAGGTGTTTAATGTTTCATGCTGTACTCCATAAGGGCGCATATGACGCAGTGGTTGGAGGCGTTCTGCAGTACGCATAGGATCGATCTCTGCTCCCTTGTCCACCAAGCCTTCCATCCCTCCGGAGTCGGCAAATTGGTATCAGAGTTGTCTAGGAGGATAGCAGCACTGGCTCGATACATCGGTTGGCCACTATGAGTCATTGGAAAGGCCGGATATGCATCCGATCAACCTTCAACGATTCTTAATGAAGTCGAATGCATGGCGCATCCCTCAGGGATTGATCAACGCCGAGAGCTTTAGCTTTTACTGTGCTTCATTCGTGGAAGAAGATGGCGACATTTAAAACAAGGTAATTCCACGATAAATGGTCAAGATCGTTACCTTGGCTGAAACAATACCACGGCCCATTCGTGCCGCCGCCGAGCTTGGTGTGGTGACCCGCAGTCGCATCGTGCTCTCTGCGCCGCAGATTGCGGACGGGCCTCATTCTTCATGCCAGACATCCTTCCCAGGATTTTTTTTAGAATAAAGCAGTTCGATTGGTTTTCTTTGCTGTTGTCATGATGCAGTGAATCTGTAGTTAGTTCTTTGCTGATGCAATAATCAGTTCTTTTATATGTTGTGAATAATTGGCTCCTTCCAACAATCGAGCTCGACTTGTTTGTTCTTAACAGAACCGCGTCAGTGTTGCATTGGTATGTTTCTTTATTCTAACTAGAGTTTTTCTTGCTCATGGCTTTGTGTCCTAACACAATCGATACGAATCGATTGACAACAATCTAAATTGAAGTGCAGGTTTCCTGCAACACTGTGACAGAACTGTGCAAAGATTGGGTGTATTCAGGCTTTTCTTTTTTCTTTTCACTGTAAAGGATCCGACAGTAATGTGATGTGGGGTGCATAAATCCTAACTATCTGTTATCGTGATGTTTCTCTTATCACTATGAGGACAGTTAGTGAGGCAGAGTCGTTTTTTCTTTCAATTCTCTACTTTATCCAGGATTTCAGGATATTCCGGATCTTTATTCTAATTGGCTGTTGAGTTAATCGTAGGACGTGTCCTATTAATGACCAATATCAAATATGCAATTGTTGTCGAGGGACATTAAGTCCTTAAAGGAGAAAAAATTTGTGAAGGGACTCCACGTGTTACCCCAAATAGTTGATATGTTGGAAATAAATCTATTTATTTAATGGATTGTTGTCATGCAGAAAGTACTTCCGTCACTTTCCCATAGCGGTGTTCTTTCTGATCGTGTAACTTTCTCAGCGTTGATAAACTTGTGATGTAGCCTGCTGCCGTCTCCCAAGGGTCCGTTGCCATAGCGATCCTTATCTGATTCCTGTGTAGACAGAATGAGGTCTACGGAGGAGTCAGTTGATTAGATGAAGAGCGTTAAGTATGCGTTTGCGTGATGCCAGATGTGGCTGCGTGGCCTCCTGCGTCCAACACCGGTGCCGACGTGCCGCCGGCTGGGCTGCGGGGCTTGGTTGGCTGGCTCGGACGCCTCCCAGCTGGCGCAGTCCGTCGCTCGACCCGCTGCCGTCCGCCGAGGTACTGCTGGTGTCGGCTGCAGCGCCATGTTCCGGCAACAAAGGTGGGTTGAAATTGCGATACTTCTAATGTCAACGATTGCTGTAATAAGCTATTCCTCTTTTGCTTCCTTTTTTCCTCTCTTTTCCTTGCTATTTCCTTAATAGTTTTATGACCACTGATGCTTCTTGTTGATCTTAGACGCTGATTGTATTGCAATATCCGGTTTTATCACATCTGCAAATATACAGTGTCGGATGCTGTCTTTAACTATATAGACTGATTCCATATTCACTCTTGTTTCCTTTCTTTTTTAACATGCCGATTTCAAGCTACGTAATGTCCCGTCCTTACAGATTCCTGTTCGAGTCCCCGCAGAACTTTCTATTGCTCTCATTTCATCGTAGCTATGCTTTATAGAAGCGATCTGTTCTCCACATTTAAGAATGTGGCATGAGAACACTGGAGGTGGCGTCACTCATGCTCACCTTCTCCGTTACTCCGATGAAGAGGACGCCACTGAAAAGTCTACATAGGTTTGGAATACACAGAGTCTTTACAAGTTTTCTAGAATCATTTGTAGATGGAGTATTTGAGATTTCATTCAATACGAGACTACGAGACGTGGATTAAGAGGATAAATCATGAAAAGCTACAACTATTTAACATATGGGGAGAATCGTAATTGTTATACTGTTTTTCATGCTATTCGAGTAACAGTTTTACCTTTGAATGTCATCCTAGTGGGCCCAGCCCAACTTCTACCAAGAACCAAGTTTGGAATACTGTTAGCTCACAAACGTTTACCGGACAGTGCGAGTAGTAATGAGCGAAACGTTCGATGTGCTCAGTCTAAAAAATTTGTGCTGGGGGAGGATCCACTCCAGAGAATGATGCCTACATTGATGGGTCAATGCTGTTTAGAGGTATATTTAGAGTTTTAGTGGCGTTCTAAGAAAATATGCCAAACTAAATTATATGTTCAGCGTAATAACATGTTTGTTGATATTTTGTGATCGCGTAATAGCTCTGGATACTAAGAGTTTGAATTGTAGCTGAATCGGTGATAATGGACTTTGTGAATCTTTTTTTATTGAATTAGCTCCTTATGGTGATAGTAGACAAGCAGATGTTTCATTGTGTAGGAACCTCATCGAAAGAAAATACTTCGGAACGGAGAGATGAAAGGACACGAAAAAGCAGGTCATCCAGCAGAAGCTTAACAGAAAACAATTGTCGGCCTAACAGAAACCGTTGAGTGCTTGCTGTTCAAGTGGAAAGACATCATCTCAATGTGAACGATTCATGGCGTGATTCGTACTGCTAATGCAAGGCCGTACATGATCGTGAGCTACAAGCAAGAGGAACTATTTGTGAACATAGGAGAGTAGGTGGCAGCTTGTTATCTACTTTTCAGGAAGACTGTCATGTGTTTCTTACGTTCATTTTAGTTTATAGTTCTGGTACATGTATTTTCTTCTACTTTTTCACACAAAATGTTTGTTGAGTGCATGCACGATTTATTCGGACAACTCGGGTGGGAAATAAAATTGGGCGAAAATTGGTAAGAGATAGATCTAGAAGTAAAAACGCGGGAACATTATGACAGCCAATTAAACCATGGTTCGTTCTGACCTGGGTTCCAAGTTTTGCGTATATCTCAGCATCATTATGGTTGAATTATGTCGGCTGTTAGGAATTAGCAAAATGCCACGACTCCAAGGCTACTGAAAATTAACTAAGCCTATTAGCTCTAAATGTAGACAGTGCAAGGAACAATGTCTTGGTTTGTTGGCAAGCTTGTCTGAAGTTGTTAGCAATTTCTATTGTGGATAACATTATACTTCCACGTGATTTCTGTGCGGTTGGTCTCTACGTGACATACTTAGTGGAAACCTCATAGAAAGCGGCTCTGAAGAAGGCGAAATCCGCCGAAACGTCAGCTTAAGAATAGTAACACCTCGCGTTTGCTCAACAAAAATACGAAGAAAATCACTTGATCAATGCCGAGGTTAATAGAAAGTCGGTCGTGGCAGTTATTGTGGATAACTTTTCGGGACCACTGCCTTCATCAAATCGGAAATGATTCGAACGGATTGTCCATGACAGCTATTGAAGGAAAAGTGCAAGAAATATTTAGCAGCAGATAAGTTCCGTAGTGGTTAAAGAAAACAATCAGGTGATGATAAGGAGTGTTATACTGTTCAGTAGTGATTTTAGACTTCGTGAGCGATTGCGTGGCTAACATGCAGGAATTTTAGCAGTACTGATGGTAAATGTGTTAATAGAACAGGAGAATAAGGTGCAGAGTGTAACATCTTCATCCAAAATTCTGTATAAGGAGTGGACGTCACCAGTACTACTTGTTCTCTCATTAGTGGTGACGAGTGTCGGAAAGTAGTGTCTGTGTTCCTTCTCTGTCGTATGCCAGTGTTTTTTCACTGAATTTCCCGAACCCGAATTATGTGAGGGAAATCACATTTCATCTCTAGGGTTTTCTTGGAATTATCTTAGTATTGTATTGGTGGTCTTAGATAGAAGCAGTCTTGGAGGCTCTTGTTAGTCAAGGAGTCCTTACTCAGTAAATACGGATTCTTCGTGAGCTGTACAAAAATTTCACAACCAAGGTATCACCATTCTACAACGATATTAACATTGACGTCAAAAGAGTAGTTAGGCAAGGGGATATAATCTCGCCAAAATTGTTTATCGCCACACTCCAGGACGTCATGCGAACACTGGAATGGGATAATGTGGGAGTGAAAATCGATGGTCGGCAGTTACACCATCTTCGCTTTTCTGATGACATCGTCCTTATAACACCAAACAGCCAAGCGGAACGTATGCTTGACGACTTTGATAAAGCCTGTGGAAAGATTGATTTTCGACTAAATCTCACAAAAACGATGCTCATGAAGAACGGATTGGTTTCGTATGTCCCATTCACGCTCAACGGAACGAATATCTCCGAATGCTCCAGTTATGTCTATCTAGGTCGGGAAATCAATGTGATGAACGACCTAGCTCCAGAGCTGAGCATAAGGAAACGAACGGCTTGGGGAGCTTTCAAGAGTATCGAGGATGTAGTGAAGAGAACAAAGAACACCCGACTCCGTGCCCACCTTTTCGACTCAACGGTACTTCCTGCCCTAACGTATGCGTCAGAAACCTGATCGCTGCGTAAACAGAATGAAGGGTCACTCAGCGTTATCGAACTCGCGGTCGAAAGGACGTTGCTAGAAGTATCCCGTTCCACACAAGTAAGGGATGGGATCCGAGCTGCGTCAACGATCAAAAATCAAAGATGGCGTTCTGTACGCCGAACAGTCGAAGATGAGGTGGGCCGGACACGTAATGCGTATGAATGAAAACCGATGGACAAGAGCCGTTAGTAACTGGATTCCTCCGGATGTCAAACGTACTGGAGGAAGACCACCGACCCGATGGTGAAAGTTCTTCACAAAGAGCCTTGATGGAAGATATGATGCTCGACGAGTCCCTAGAGCGAGCAGAACCCCCTGGGGTACTCATGCACGCGACAGGGAAAATGGAAGATTTACTGGCGCCCGCTCGAGTCACTCAACGATCAACGGGACAACAGGTGACACAGGTGATTGTGTTGGTGGTATTTCTGTTATGTGGTTGGCGTATGGTGAATTTCAACGCCTAACGGTTCTTGTGCACCCGTTATCACTGAGACACAATGTTTCCGGCCTATCAGTTTTTGACATCTTAGCCAATACGATTGCGTGCCTTTTCACCTTGTCGTTAGCGTGTTCTGTAAATCTGACTGATCTTTCACCTGCTTAGGTAGCATCCATTTTTCCTTGGTATACCTCGGAAGAGTTGTGGAGTCGAGATGGTGGTTACTGGGCAGGATGTTCTTTGTCTTCATCCAGCACATCATCTAAGTCGTCAGGTCCGCTTTTGGATCATTCATTCAGAGCGGACGTATGATCTGAAATTGCGTCATGGTTAACAGGGAGGGTTTAATTCCTCCAAAACTAGTAAAAATATGGCGGAAAAGTTATGCGAAGAAGCAGTAAAAGAACTGTGGATCAGATTTAACTCATATTGCCCTAGATTGATCTCCGTATTAGTTATTATATGACAAGAATCGTCAGTAATCTGGTAATGATGATCCGAAAGGGTTCGCAGGGGAGGTGCCTGGAGAAGTTCCGTGGACACCACCAGAATTTGATATTCACATAGCTTTAGGTTTTCCAAGTTATTGTACGGTTATCATTGCTCTGGTTTTTTTTATTTTTTTAATTGGTTGTTTTCAGACTTCTGGGTTCACGAACTTACTTTATTAATTCTGGAAGCAATTAAAGCAACTGTTTATCATTTTACACAACTATTTCTTTTTAATTCTTAATTTCATTTTAGATTTCCATCATCTTATGAGAAATTTGTGCGCAACCTTTAAAAAGCATTTTATTTCTGACAGTGTCTGCTAAGTCCGAATTTCTCTATTGAATTCCAGTAGGTGCACATTACACTCCATAACGGTTTACCGCCTCATTGCGGCTGGGAGGTGCTCTTAGGTGTCGGGTTGCGAAGTACAGCAGAGATATTCATCCCACTGGTAGGGTCTCCCAAGGTGAAGAGTCCGGTATTTCCATTAGGAAGCCCAGCTAAGAGCAAATCAATACCAGGATCCACCACCGTCGTAGTATCAAACCATGGTAGCAAATTTCTCTTTGATTCACAAAGGCTACGACTGCCTGCGGTGGTGATAACTAGGGGCAGACTTTGGTCAGGCTGTCCTCGGGATTCCAGGGAACCACAACGGCTTAACCAGTAAATCTTCGAAAAAGTGGAGATTATGATTAGGCCCGCACAACTAGTGAGGACGGGGCATCAAAATATCGAACTAAGGTAATGTGCACATTTGTACTTATGTGATAAAAAGTTGGATTGATTGCTCATTATCGATTTGTTGTAACACGTATAACAACTCGTTTTTGTCGTGTTTTCATCTGTATTGGTTCGTTTGATTTGACATCGTAATAGCAAGTCGTTGTTTTCATGTGGCTGTTCTGTGGTATGTGTGGCTCCAAGTGAGTTCTCATCGCTTTCATTTCTATATTTAGGGTATTGTAGTTTTTCTCGACTTTATTAGCCACTAATGTTCTACCACTGATTTATCACTACATGTAAGCTACAGCGAAAAGCGTCGCTATAATCTCATATGTCAATTTAATGATTTCAAGAGAGGATGTCCTTTTCTAAACACCCCGTTCTGATATTTGTCATTACATATATCCCACGAAAAATGTGAACTTCCGCTTCGGTACAACCTTATGTTTGCACGCATATTCACGACGATATGCATTTATTTCAATTCTTGCATGTTCGGAAACAAGTCAGTGTTTCGGCCTATAGACAGTTATATTTCCAGCTTATATTGATCATAAATAAATAGCATTAGAATCCGCCGATGCATGTATCTGGGAAGATGGCAAAGGTTCATTTACTCCATTGCGATGGAGGAGTTCCAAACATGTGAAGCGCGTGTCGCTCGCTTCCGGGCATCGATGCTCGCATATCCGGTCGCCGGCCCCATTCCCACACGCCCTCTCCTCCCCCCTTGTCAGCCAATGTCGTCCTTGCCGAAGGAGAGGTTGTAACTTTTTGAATCTTTTCTATGTGAATGTCTTCTAATTTTTAACTACAGAAATCAGGCTGAGGATCAGTTTAAGAAGTTTATGGTTGTTCAGAGTGCTGGGGTAGAACCTGCGAGTAAACTTCCACCAATTCAGTTGTTGAAAATTGGTAGACAGTTATCGAAAGAACAGCATTGTTACGAACGTACTAACTTCTACAGTTCTGTTGTGAATTGTCATTGCCGTATCATTCGTTAGCTTTTGATGATTAGAGAGTAGACTCCTGTGGGTTAGATGTCAAATTTCTTTCCTAAAACCTTCTTTGATTTTCTTTCCTTTTCAGAGTTGTTCAAAGAGCACTGTTTTATTGTCTGTTTTGCTGTGAAGAGTGTCAAGTGTCAGGTTTAGTTGTAGTCTGACGGGAAGTACGGTAATTAGCAATCGAGGCAAAGGTCATGTGGTCAGAGCACCAGGGAGTCTGCGGTGAAATAACCGCTAGCATTTCGTGAAGTTTTCCTCAAAGTGTTAAAGTTATCGTAAGATTTGAAAAAGTGCTTATTATTTTCGAATTCCTGGATCATTCCCGTCGACAGATGATTGCTTATGGCACTGGTCGATAGAAAACTTGCTGAGAGATAGGCGAAACGAAAGACCCTTATACTGTGGTGGTGAACGCGTTAGTCCCCCGAAAGGGTAATAGTGTGTTCGTTTCCCACCACAGACACATCCATTCCGGAGTTTTGCAAATATCTCAGCATCATTGTAGTAGTGTTGTTTTCCAACTCCTAAAAAACTGAGTCGTGCTCGGTTGTTTGAATTGTGGTCATAAGCCAACTGGCAGAATTTTATTGATTTGAAGCCTAGTTACTTTGCAGGTTTGCTATCGGTTTGATTTTTTTTCTAAGTGCTGTTTTTTCCGCACTGCGGCGTAGATTTGCTACGTAGGTTTTCTGCTAAATCCCCAAATTAGCGGAGTGAAGAACTCTTCGTCATAGGATCGTTGCGTATAACATGGACTTGCTTTAGTGAGGTTTGTTTCAGGGTCAGTTCTACTGTGTTTATCGACGCTGAACAGTTGAGCCAGAACAAAATGGCTTCTGGAGATACGATTAAGTACGAGAAAATCGAACGTGGATCACTCTATGGTCTTGACTACAGAATTTTCATTAGTATGTCAATACCTATCGTTTGTGTATCGCAACTTTTTTTAAAGGTAAGCCGCAAAGTTTGTACATTTAGGTGGCCCTGTTGGTGTGATTTCTCCGTGGCACGATGTTCCGCTTTTCGCCGACGAAGCCAATAAGATCTATAACATGATTGTCGAGATTCCTCGTTGGACAAATGCAAAAATGGAGGTAGGTTGAACCTATTCTGTGTTCTTACAAAGATTTCGTTAAGATGACTGAAATTTCACATGACTGAATTATTTGATTATAACTGTCTGCGGGGAATTTTAGATGGCAACTGCTGAACCAATGAATCCTATCAAGCAAGACACAAAGAAAGGCTTTCCGCGATTTGTGCATAACATATTTCCACACAAGGGTTATATCTGGAACTATGGAGCACTTCCTCAGGTAAGCACGCAAGCCCTTCATTGAGTTTTTTGTTGTTGAATCATCACCAACAGTTGTTGTTCTTAGACTTGGGAGAATCCGAACCACATTGTTCCCGATACTGGTGCGAAAGGAGACAACGATCCAATTGATGTAATCGAGATTGGATCTAAGGTTCAACAGCGTGGTAGCGTTGTCCAGGTGGGTTTTGTCTTCTAAAATTGTTATGTAGCAGTGTAATATATTGTATTCGGCTTCATGTTTCGTATTATTGCAAACAAATGTTGTAGGCGTTTGCATTAGATATGGAAGATTTTGGATATTTCATAAGTATTACTTATTATGAACACAATATTTTGTACTTTTAGTATAGTTCTTGTACTACGCGCTTTGTACGCCGTACCTTTTTTGAAAAGTTAGCCCACCATACCATTTCTTTGTGAGGAAAAAGTTTCAAGATACCCAGACTTGCTTCGAACTCGCGATTACCCTTTGGGGGACTCATATTTTGAACAGTGCACCACTGTGGCCTTTGCATTATTTTTATCTCAACCAGTTTTCGACCTTAACGCTGCTATCATCACACACTCGTCAACGGGTATAATCTGATGAGCACAAATCGCTGCTGAACCCAGTTAAGAGAAGTGGAGCGAATAAGCTCATCCGAACGTTGTAAAGTGTGAGAAATAGTTTCTCTGATACGTCCAAGATGTCATCTGTCGTAGAGAACTATATTTGAATATTTTAAAGTTTCCTCGAAGAAAAAAATCTATTTTCGTGATGGCGAGGTACCCATCCGTTTCGCACATCCTAAATTTCTAGGTAAAAATTGTCGGCACGTTGGCGCTGATCGATGAAGGCGAGACGGATTGGAAATTAGTCGCTATCGATGTCAAGGATCCTCAAGCTGACCATGTTAACAGTATCGGTGACGTCGAAAAGCACTTCCCTGGTTTGCTTAAGGTGTGAGCTTGTCATGTTTTTTTCTAGTGAAAATTCTGGTCTTTGTTTCAGAACATTCCTGCGAAGTTCACCTTGACAATTCGAAGCTGTTTTTTCATCAGTTCTGACTGTTCTGTTTCTTTGTCATTTTCGTTCTAGATGTTGTGGGTTAGAAATATTTGAAAGGGATGGCCTACTGTTGCCTAAAGCGTCTGCTGTGTAGCGATCTCATTATTTTAAATCTTGCACTTCCTTGCTTGTTGTCTGGATTGCTACGTTTTTAGGCTACGGTGGAATGGTTCCGAATATATAAGATTCCAAATGGGAAGCCAGAAAATAAATTCGCCTTCAATGGCGAGTACAAGGATAGTGATTATGCTCACAACGTCATCGCCAAAACACATGAGTTTTGGAAATCGCTCATTAAGGAAGTTTCACCGAATCTCAACACGTACGTTGCGAATCTACACCGTTTTAATGATAGTGTTCTGATTTACTCTAGGAAATGTCATCCGTTTCGCTTTTCTCTCACGTTTTATTTCATTAGTTACGTATTCTTCAAGTCATTTTGTTGTTGATTATACGAGAAGCGTTGGACAGGCAGTGTTGTATTTAGTACGGACTCTTAGTGCTTCATTGTTTTTGATGCATTCGTGTAGAAGACAGACTGGGTCATGTGCGTTAATATCTTCCACATTTTCTTTCCAGTGGTTTATTTCAACACACAGGTTTTTTTTAAACGCTTTTTGTGTTCGGTCAATAGATTATCGCATACAAGTCCAATGACAGGCGTTGTTCTTGAGAACACGGAAAAAGAGATTCTTTAACGGATGAGTTTATTTCGCCAGGTCGAGCGACTGTTATTGGTGAAGAGAGTGCCTGATGCTGGAACTGTTAACAGTGATGAGGTACAAAAGTGATGTCATGTTGTACTTTAGCACTGATGTTCGACATCCGTCCACATTTCTCCGTTCGGTTAAGGTTGAAATCACGGTGTTTTTTCCTCACTTAGCTTTCACAAAAAATAGGTTGGGGTAGTTCGTTTTTCCTATAGTTGGCATTAATCACTATGATTTTACACAGTTTATTCTTTAGAAATTTTCGAAATTTTTACCACGCTTTATTGTCGTAACCGTTCTTAAAATTGTTCTCAAGTTCGTTTATTACACAGTCCAGTTCTGTATCGTACATTCCGCCGTTGTTGAAATTTTAGTGGTTGTGGTGGCTAGAGTTGCTGTTTTAAAGTATTTGTTTGGTTGACAGGCCGTTTTGACATCTCATGCTTCATTTGAAGGAAGGCATTGGTTTCATTTTCTTCAAGCGTGCCATATTTTCGTGTTCTCCTTTAGAGCCGACTTCGCTGTCTGTTAGTGTGCTGATATAGTTAAGTTGTAAAAATTTCTTTCTACACATTTTCGTCTTGTTTCTTGTCAATTATGAGATATCTTCCCATACTATTGCTGTGAAGTACGTACTTCCACGCCCAACAAAGCAGCACGCAAGTAATATTAGGACTCGCGTTCTCAGTTGGTGCACTATCGCTATCGCTTGGTCATTTGTTGCTTACCACTAAAATTTTCATTGCGCCACGTGGTATTTGGTATTTCAGTTATGTTCAGCTAAGTATTGTCTATTATTATTTCTACTGCTTACAGTCAGTGCTTTGTCGATGGCGCAGTCCATAAGGCAACGAAGGAATCCACGAGCGAGGTGCTGAACTCGACAGCGCCACCGGCTGCGCAGTCATCCCTTCCAGAAGATATTGACAAGTGGTACTTCATAACAGCTTGACTAGTCGCGGGACCGAAATTATAATTTATCAGTATCGTTTTATTTAATTTTCGCTACTTGTCACTAGGTTCATTGGTTTGGCACAACATGTTCGCTTATGTTCGGTTCAATGGGCTTGTTATTTTTTGTTAGGTGAAATTTCGCCAATTAATACTTGTAATAAACATCATCTTTGGGTAGGCTATAACACTATATTGACAAATAAATGAAAGTTATTAAGCCTGTAGAGATGAGGAGTGTTAACACTTGAGTCTCAACTGAGTGAATTTCCACTCAAACTCAAGTCGACAGGTGAATTAGTACTAAAGCATCTTTTCTGCGTTTGTTTTGTTATGCACAGGTTTCTTGTTGTACTTTTAATATTCAGTCAACAACAGCCTATGCAAGCTCCATAAGAGAGCTAGGAGTTCGACAACGGATTTATAACTCTTACTATCATAGTATTCTAATGGTGCTATAGATACCTTAAAAGACGACTTTTGTTAAACGTATGTAACAGTAATCAATAGTTCTTTATATTCTTGAGCACATGTTCCACAGCTGGTCCTTGTCACGGTATGGTTGCTAGTTGTCGCATTAAGGTATAACTTACTTGGTAAGGATGAATGCGATTAAACAGCGAAGATAGCATGGGCAACATGAGGTAACATGTGTAAATAGGGCCTATTCAGGTTAATAGTTACTAGGCTTATGTGGGTTTTTCCTTGGAGCGTTCTCCTAACAAAGGAAAAACTTTTATGGTTGATTACCAATGATCAGGTATCTCCTTTGATCCGTATCAGTATCCTTCCATCTAAATCTTCACATGTGGAAATGTTCCTGCTCATGTACGCTGTGATCTTGTACGTGCAGTCTGCTTTAGTGCACAAGTTTATTTTCTTGGTTTCATATTTGTGCCTACTTATGGCCTTCATTTCGCGAATGGAACAGCCGAACAGCTGTATGGACTCTAAGAAACGCGATGGGCTCACTAACACATGTGTTCTTGCTTAGTCTGTAGATTCCTTGCATTTCCTATTATATATTCTAGCACGTATGGTTTAGGAGATGAGCTAATAGTTTTAAAAGCTCATCTCCTCATGATGACTAAGTGGAGCTTTTTACCTCGAATTAATTCAATCTTGAACGTTGAACCGTTGAACGTTATTCATGGCGTGGTGGACTTCACTTATTAGGATAAACATTATTAAAATGCACAAGAGTTCCTAGGACCGACTTTCTATTGACGTCCGTAGTGGTCAAATAGTTCATTTTTTTCCTTGATGGGCAAAAGAAAGGATCCTGCATGTTCTGCTTGCTCGTCGAGGAAAAGGGAATGTATAGGCTTTTTCAAAGAAGGCACACTGCTTCATTGTTGCTGTAGAAGCATGAAGCTACGGTTTTCCAGAAGTTACTGTAGGTAATTCCTTCGACGAAGCTTGTAACTCGAAGAGCAAGAAGATTGAGCAAGCAAGCAGGACACCGTGGGGTTCCGTATTATATCGTTGATGTTTGCGGTTACCACACCCCGTTGGATTCGTGTTCAATTTGTTGAAGGTTTGGATTCTACACAAAAGTTAAAAGAAGGGTAAGTCTATGGAAAAGTTGTAGATAACCTGAGAGCGATAAACGAAAGTTTTTTCTGTAAGTCAGTTCTCAGTTCCACAAGTAGTTTACCTGCCGAAAATTAAAGACTTATTGAAAAACCAACACGGTCCATGGTGTATTTTTCTGGACTTTTCATTCTTCTTATTCTGTACGACCAGGTAGCACACACTGTGCGAGTCCCTGCACTTTTTGTATTCGAGTCGTTCTTCCACATCAACAATCCACTTTCGCTTGTTTTGCTTGTTGTGAATTTTCACTGTTCTGCTTGACATGGTCCGAAATTCTCCTCTATGGTATGGTATTGTCGTTGCCCCTTAATGTTCGTGCCAATAACCCATTATTGCGAAGCCTATTTGATGGTTGTTGCCTACAGCGATGAATTTAACCTCATTTTTCTTGCCACCGTACCGCTAAGGGTTCCTCTCACAGGCGGCTTTTGAGAGTTGCAAGCGATATTAGCCGAAAGATGCTACACTTGCTGAAGAGTAAGCGATATCTAAAGCAAGATTGGTTAATGTATCCTGAGTTACAACTTACAACTCTTATTTATTGTCAATTATTTTTTGCGATAGGTTATTATGTGAAATACCACTACAATGATGCTGAGATATTTGCAAAAGTTGGACCCAAGCCAGATCGAGCTGCGATTACTGTTTCAGAGTGCTCTTGTGTTACGCACGGCACCCAATAAGGTCCTTGTTCTGTCTTTATCTCAGTGAGCTTTTTTTCTTTTACCTTAATGGTGTCAAAGGCAATCACCCGTCAACAAGAATGATCCGGGGAGCACAAAATTGGCATTGAACCCAGGTAAGCTGAGGCTATAGTGGAAATCACAATGAATAGCTTCTATCTACTGGCTAATTTTTTTTACGGCAAGCGATTATGTGAAATACAACCGCGCTGATCCCAAGTTAGTTTGCTAACTAGCGCTTAATCGTAGTAGTTGTGGAGAAGGAGGTGAACGTGGATGTCTTCGTTGGCTAACAGAGTAAGCTCTGTCTCCGCATCCCCATTGTATCAACTTATTAGAAGGAAAGAGGTATCGTTAATTTATGTAATACGTACACACATTGATTGGTGATGGTATAGAATTTGATCCGTTTAGTGAAAATCTTGAGGAACTCGCTATTTACGAGAAATCCTTTAACAAATTTGTCATGGCCTACTTGAATGCAAAGAGAAGAAGAGCGCGAGGAAAGGGATATAGGTGCGGAAATTCTGAACAGAACATGTATACCCAAATATTTTGCTAAAGAACACCGTCACGCTCGACTTTCACACGGAAATACATTTCTCAAGAAGAAAGACTGTTACCGTTGGATGTGACAATTCCTATACTACGCTGCCCATGTGGAGACAAAGGTCTAGGCCTAAGCCTTAATCCAAGCCTCTGCCTAAGTTTAATCCAATGCCTAAGCCGGGGCCGACTTTGTCCGCTTCACCCTTCACCGTACGCTTTCATAGCGTACAAAACATCTCGGGAAATTGCATTCATGTGGTCTTCGGCATCGTCTTTCTGTAGTTTTGCGTCTAAGTATGTTCTGAGATTTCAAAGAAGAAGTGGAAAAGTGCTGGTCGGTTTCAGCGACAAGATCGAAATGTTTTGAGTCGACTATGAGTCGGCCGAAACGTAACCTCATTAATCAAAATAAGTAGGGTAAGAATTTGCATACTCATTCCGACAAGAAAGAACTTTTTGTCTTACAACGATGAAATCATGATTCTCCCAAGCCTTCAAGTCGTTGTTGGTTTTTTCGTTTTGCAAAGTGTTTCTCATTTCCAGCAGGAAGCAATTGAGCTGCGGAGCTTCTGTCAAAATTTTTGGAAACATTGAGAACCTTAGTTTTTCTGGATTTTGAATGGTCAACGGGCTTACAATGCCAGAATAAGGATTTCTGGCGCTGAAAGTTTTTCTCTCGATTAAAAGCTACGAAGTAATATCTGATTAGTGTCGAATTACAACTGCATGATTATTTTATTCTTCAAAAAGTACTCATTTAAGTGCTCGCACTTTGTGTGGGGATATTCCACCTGTGTTCTCGCTGTTCCTGTGTGGTGTGTACCGAAGTGTGTGAAGTAGTTGCAGAAGTGCTTCCAGCATTTCTCTTCTTTTTTCGGAATGGACGGCGTTTCGTGGTGAGCTGTTAACGATGTTCATTATAATCTGGCTCGTAGAATCTTTTTCGCCTCCAGTACACATCTGTCTGACTGATGTCCTTTCTTGAGTGATTTTTGTTGTAATGCCTTCGCCAATGACATATACGCAGTACAAATCAATGTGTCACATGTAAACCTGAATTTCAGGCTTGACCTGTCTTGCTGGATTTGCTGCAGTGCATCCCTCTTCTATTTTTTTCCTTCTTTTCATCTTTTTTTACATCCTTTTTCTCCCATTGACAAGGCTTCGTTTTCTAATGCTCCAACGTCAGGTTTTATCTTTTTCCTCTGATCTTCTTAGGCTGCCATTTAATTTGGTGCCACTCAGAATATTTTCCTTTGAACAATCGCAAAGCAACTAAAAAATCCCCAGCGCATGTTTCCC